TGAAAAAATTGTTAAAAACATTTCACTAAATCGGAACATAAATAAACATCATTTATTATAGTTTGTTTAAGTGATTATAATAAAATTATCTCATGATTAACATCATCATATGATATGGTGAATGTTCTATTCAATTATTGATAGATAAACTGACTGGTTTTCTTTATGAGATCACATGAAACAACTTTATAAGAAAATAAATCTAATTATTATTATTATTATTATTATTATTATTATTATTATTATTATTATTATTATTATTAGTCCCTTTGGTTCCTAGTGGAACATAGGGCTTCAGTAGCACGCCTCCAATGACCTCTGTTCTCTGAGATCTTTTGAACCTGGTCCCACGACAGCCCAGAAGCTCTCATTTCCTCCTCACACGACCTCCTCCATGTCACCCTTGGACGTCCAACTCGTCGCTTCCCATGGGGATTCCACTCGAGGGCCTGACGCGTGATGTCCTCAGTCGGCCTTCTCAGTGCATGGCCAATCCATCTCCACTTCCTCCTGTATATTCGTTGAGTGATAGGTTCTTGGTTGGTTCGTTCCCAGAGTTCCTTGTTGCTTATTCTTTCTGGCCATCTGATCTTCAGCAGCGAGCGTAAGCAGTTGTTGATGAATGTCTGTAGTTTATTGGAAATGCCTTTCGTGACGCGCCAAGTCTCTCAACCGTACAAAAGCACTGACTTGACGTTGGTGTTGAAAATCCAGATCTTGTTCCGCATGCTGAGTGGAGTGCAGAAGATCTCCACACTGGTTTCAGGTTAATGAACGCCTGTCTTGTTTTTCCGATTCTGACTTTGACATCCTCGTCTGTGCCTGTGGCGCCTGTAGTTGAAACAGTGCTTCCTAGATAGGTGAAGGAGGTTACTTCCTTCAAGTTTCTCCCGTTAACGGTGATTGGAGTTTGTTGTTGTTGTTGATGGTGGTGGTGCGGTATCTTCATCACTTCTGTCTTCTCTATATTCACCTGAAGTCCCGTCTTAGCTGCCTCTTCTATCAACTTGTTAGTTTTTGCCTGCAGATCTTCAAGTTTATGTGACATTAGGCATAAGTCATCGGCGAAATCCAAGTCTTCTAGGTTCTTTTCCGTCGTCCAGTGTATCCCCCTCTTCTCGCTGCCTACTGTTTGCTGCATGATCCAGTCCACTACAACACAATCAGGAATATCATGGGGGATAGTAGGCAACCTTGTTTCACTCCTATCTTCACTTCAAAGGCATCACTGAGCTTCCCATTGTGGATTACTTGGCATGTGGCATCTTCATATAGTTGTTGAATGAGGCGGATAAAGGTTTGCGGTACTCCGTAGTATTGAAGCAGTTTCCAAATTACCTCTCTCCTTATAAGAAAATAAATCTAATAAATAATCACAAAAAATATAAGGGAAACAATAAAAATTTTTTCTAGTTACTTCTTCCCTTGTAAAAGTAGTAGGCTGAGTTCTGTATCATGTTAGACAAAGCTTTCCCGTGTAAATTTTAAAGTAAAACTTAAGTGTGTGTTTACATGTGCGGATTGATTCAAACTTCAGTATCAAAATAAAATATTCATTTTGTCTATCTAATATTTAACAGATGCTTTACCAACTGAGTATCGGATCAGAAACCCGGTGGTCACTGTTTCAAATCTAATCGTGATCAAAAATTTCATTTCATTTTCAATTATCACCCAGTATAAAATAAAATCTAATAGTGTGTTAGATATTAGTATTATTTTTCCCTTGGGTTCCTAGTGGAGCACAGAACTTCAGTAACACGCCTATATTGCACTCTCTTTTCTCTCGTCTTCAAAACCTCACACCACGACTGCCCACAAGCTTTCATTTCTTCCTCACACACCATCACCTGCATGCCAACCTCGACTCAGACGCTCAACTCGTCATTTCCCATTCGTATTCCACTCGACAGCCTGGCGTGGCGCTTGATGTTCCCAGTCGGCCTTCTCAATGTATACCCAATCCATCTCCACTTTCTGCTTCTGCATATTTATTGGGTGATAGGTTCCTGATTGGTTTGTTATCAGGACAGAGTTACTTGTTCCTTATTCTTTCTGGTCATTTGATCTTCAGTATCGAGTGAGCGTAGGCGGCAGCTGTTGATGAATGTTTGTAATTTGTTGGAAGTGCTTTCTGTGACCCGCCAAGTTTCTGAACCATAAAGCAGCACTAACTTGACATTGGCGTTGAAAATTCGGATGTTGTTCTTTGTGCTGAGTGCAGTAGATCTCCACACTGATTTCAGATTAATGAAGGAAAGTCTGTCTTGTTTTTTTGATCCTGGTTTTAACATGAGTGTCAGATATGTTTTCTATAAAATCTGGTTAGGTTCTCTTTCGATAAGCTATTCGTATCAGTGAATGATGTGGTTGACACATAGTTTATACATATAAATCCTACTGATGGAATTTTCAAAACTGAGCCATTTCGCTTGAAGGTGCACAGTGTTTCTCAAAGATTTGACCTCAGCTTATTGAGCATTGCTATTATAAGATTGATTAAAAAGACTGTAACAACCTTGGTTTAGCGAGAAGTCACTGGTCATTTAGCGAACCGAAATTTTTTCTGCTGAAAACGCTACCCTTTTAACCATGTAATGATGTTGTCTGAATCAAATTCGTGATATAACTTTCGAACTAAGCAGATTTATATCCTAATTTGAGCACTTGATATTCAGTGTCTAGAAAGTATGACTGAAAACTTTAGTCAAAAGGTGTTTGTTTAAATCTCTGACAGAATATAAGTTTGGACTGGGTTACAAACTTGTTTGTTGAAAAGTAGGTGGAGTAGTCAGGGGCATAATCACCAATTATCTATAGATGTTTTAAGGTAATATTTACTCTGAAAACATCATTGACTAGGTACAGTCATTGCTAAACACTCAACAGAATGGTATTATTTACCATTCAGTGGCTAGTTAAACGTCAGTTGGTTGCCGGATAGTGGATGTATGTTTCCACTACTTCCCTTTGCAGTTAAGGTTAACTATGCACATAGTTTTCAAAGCAGCTACTGTCTTGTAAATCAATCAACTTTTCAATATTCCCACTTGGTTTACATCGTAGATTGGAATGGCTAGAGAATTATGAAAATAAGAAAGCCCCAGACAAGTACTACAGTATATATTTTCACTACCCATATTCCCTAAGGACCCATGAAGTTCAGATTTTGTGATGACCACCTTGCTATTCAAACACTAAGTTGAAATCCAACGATCGATATATTTCATGCAATACATGGGTTCCAATTAGTCAGATTATGAATAGAGTTGCCTTATTATTCCCAGAGGATCTCTGAGTAAAATTTAATCTTAATATAGGAGAAAAATTTGGGCACTGTGGTAGAATAAAGTTTCATATTAAATTATTTATTCAGTATAGCACACAGTGATCCTGTATAACGTGATCCTGCATGACGTTTCGAGCACAATTTATCGCTCATATGCACATCAAAGTATTCATACAACTTTCACACTTCTTTTATATAGTCCAGTAGTTCTTCACCTTTTTATTTTAATGGTAGCAATATTTTTCGGACATCTAAAATAGGTGATGAGTTATTCCTGTTACATGTGTTAGGCAAGTTGATTCAATGAATAAAGATTCTGTGATCAATCGCAGCCTCCACTTACCTATATTGGATTGTGGGATTGTCGCCTCATTCGACCCCACAGTGTTGGGTTGCCCTCTGTGAGCCAAACTGTCTTTGCGTACAACTCTCATTATGTCTCTAAAGAAAATCTTCAGCACTAACCTCAATGATCTGTCACGATTTCTGTATCAGTGATTCACTAGCTTGCCCTGACGAAGTGGTTTGTGATTGGTAGTTTCCTTTGATCATTGTGTTATTGATTTCATAAGTTTCCCTACTGACTGTCTATGTGTTTGACCTTTAAACTTGTAGTTGTTTATCATTTTTCTTATCGGTTGGTAGATTGGATCTACGTCTATACATCTACTGATTACTGACTGATTTGAATGCTATGATCCTAGGAATTCTTTGGTATTCTTTGTGTTTATTCTGTTCAAGGTCTATAAGTTTTCAAAACCAAACTCATATTCGCAGTTCTCTGCTTGTCATAATGTTTAATCACCAATCATACAAATCGAAGGTTAAGAGGTGGCTCACTTTGTCTAATGCAGCCCTGGTAGCAGTTGATTTTGCAAGTAATACTTGCTTTGTCTTCTTGAGGAGTTGCATCCTTTGGTTTGCTTAATATGGTTCAAAGGGGAATTTGTTAGTTTGTGAGCCACATCAATTCTCAATAGCCTCAGTAGTCTTGTCGTGATCTCTGATATGTTCTTTATGTATGGTAAAATGATCCATTTGTTGAATTCTGTCGATGACTTTGTACTGAATGATGAACTGGATCGGCATATTTGGATGAAGTTACGTGGGAAACTGTTCTTCCTTAGGACAAACATAAAGGAATTTTTTCGTTGATCCATGAAGTCCTTTTATTGCAATGTGTTCCTGCTCTTTTCAAAAAAGTCTACAGGGAACTAGTTTTGTGCGTTGTTAGGTTATTGCTATTGTGACTGAGGTTTTCATCAGTGTGTGTGAGCTTCTTGTGCACTTGTCTCTCATTTCTTATTCATGGTTCTATTGGTTAAAGCATCCAGGAACAGCAACTCCTTGGCCTTTGCGAATTGGATGTCCTTGAAGTAGGGTCACTCAAGGTCATTTCAGAGCCATTCAAGGTCAGAGACATTTTATGATACTGCCTATGTATTTTTCACTTCAAATGTAAGCAAAACGCCCCTATTATGATTGGTTTTTATGTACACTAAATTATTTACTGTGTTCAGTTGGAATATACGGATATATGCACTCAGTAGTTGAGTGTTAGTAGGGATCTTATCTTCTGTATGGTTGGTGAATGCGCTTGGGAAGAGCTTTCAATATATGCAACATTTTTAGATTGTTTATATATTCTGGGTCTAAGTGATAAGCAATCTGACTCATTCTTTCAAATAATAAACATCTTTTCTCTTTCTAGGACGTTGGAATAACAACATTTTATCTGCTGATAATGTACTGCGATTAGTTTTTGCTCAGCTTGATCGTATTCTAGAAGATCCAAGAGTTCAGATAGCTGGTCTACGTGTTTTCATTGATTTTACGGGTGCTTCACCATCTCTTTTGGACACAATTAATCCTAAGAAGACAATGAAAGATTTTAGTAAAATATTACAGGTAGGATTCTGTTTATTGTAAATATTTGTATTGCAAGATGTGGATGTTCAGAGTGACTTATTTATTGGGTTTAGATATTAGTTGGTAAAATTTTCAGTGTTATGTTTCACAAGGAAGTAAAGCTTCGATTTACTGACAATGATAGCATTATATTGAAGGGATTGCCAACTAAAACTTCAACTCAGAGAACAACTCACTCTGATAAGATTCCGTTTGTGATAGGGGAGAAGGCTTAGCAGTAAAACGAAGTAAATTGTGTTGTTTTTCCTTTCGAACTGACATTATTGATGTGAAATTTAGAATAAAAGGAATTTTAGTTAATTTGAATGACCAGTCATCATGACCTTGGATGTCAATGAGATACCATCAACCATCGATGGAACAAAGTGGATGGTCAACCTATCAACTGAAGAATCATGCTCAAATGAAATGTAACCACCTGAGAAAGGGAGAAAATTCAGCGTAGTAATAAAAGTCAGCTGAAAACCTATGATACTATTCTTAGCACAAAGTAACATTAGGCTCGATAGATAAGACAACTACTGAACAAGTTCGATCACAAAATGTGTTGGCAATAAACAGTTGAAGAAGGTGTTTGCAAGGAATTTGTTGGTTGGCTACCCACGAAACTTTATCAGAAGATGCCTATCCCGTGCATCATTAACTACAAAGACATCGATAGAAATCAGAAATCACGACAAGATTGTTGAGACCACTTGGAATTGGTGTGCATCATAAACCAACAAATTCCCTCTAAACATTATTATGTGGACCAAAGGATGCAACAACCAAAGAAGACAAACCGAACATCATTTACAGAATCAACTGCAATTACTATAGTCAACACTATATTAGACAAAGTGGCCGCCCTCTTCGCCTTCGTCTACATGAACACCAACTGGCTATTAAACGCCACGACATTTCGTCACTCATTTCAATGCACGTGGATAACAACCATGGACATGAATTCAATTTTAACAATGTAGAAATTTTGGATGGAGGGAGGAAACACAAGGAGTATCACAGAATTCCTAGAATCTTGGCAGTCAGGTCAGTCAGCAATCAACAGATGTATAGACATAGACCCGATCTATCAACCAATGAGGAAGATGATAAATGACAGAAAGGTCAGGGGTCAAGCAGAGGAACAGCCAACAGGAAAGTCTATGCAATCAGTGACACAACAATCGAAGGAAACAACCCATCACACACCATATCGTCAGAGCAAGCCACTAAATCACTGACAAGGAGATATCGATAGCTCACTTCATACTCAAGTTAGTGCTGATGATGTTGTCTAGAAAGACGGTGAAAGCTCCGCGATTAAACAACCCAGCTCAGAGAACACAATGCAGCCATGATCTTCCACCTGAGCTACAAATATTCTTCATTATTTCAGAAACGAAGGCCTTTATGATGTTGCCATATCAAGAAGGGTCATCAGAAACCGTTAGTAGGATTCTGAATAAGACTGGGATTAGAGTGACATTCAAGCGCAAAATAATCACTCAGCTAAAAAGTTTTCAGTTTAGGGATTCTATTAGCCCAATTAGACAAACTAATTTAATTTACTAAATATTTGAGTGTGAGGTCAAGTATGTATGTCAGATTAGTAAAATGGGATCAGTCAACTTGGCAGATCATAGGGAATTATGGAGGAAAATTCAGCTATAGTTATGCTTGCGATAACACAACCACACAAAAGGTTAGGAGAGACTGACAGTCTTGAATGTTAATTTACTTAGGTGGATAGGGATTTTGGTCACTGAATCCTTGCTCACTGATCCACCGAATGGGTCGACAGTTGGTCAGTTAAGTAGTATCACTAGCCCTAGCAAAATGGGTTTGGTTCATTGCCTACTACATGAATGTGTACAACATGGCTGAGTGCGTTTTTTCTACTTATAATGAAATCAGAGAGTGAAAAAGCATTAGAACTATAAAGAAATTAGAGCAGGATATTGTATGATTACTGTGATATGAATATGAGCAATGAATTTCACTTGGAAGGTTATCTAGTAAGTAATTCCAAATCACAGTGTGTTATATCAAAAAAAGTAATCTAATATGGAAGAACTTGTATGTTATTGAAAGTTTTCAACAGTTGCCATGTTATTATAACTTCACAATATTCTCCAATTATTCCTTCATATAATATGGGACTCCAACACCACTTATGTATAGGGATTATTAAAGATTTATTAATAATATTGTCTTGTTTGGTGATGAAAATTAGAAATGATAACTATCATATCACTGACATTCATATTTTACAACAAGTCATTCTTCGTTCTTTACAGGAAGCTTATCCATTTCGAATGAAGGGGATTATTTATTACAATGAACCAGCTTTAATGGATGTACTGTTTAAACTGCTGTCGATATGGCTAAAACCGAAAGTGAAAGATCGGGTAGGATGTCGTTAAGTGTTTGTACATATAAACTATTTCTTTGGTGTTGAAGTTTATATGGATTCGAGTGTATGCTCATAAATATATACTTAATTCATGTTGTAGAAACCTTTGATGAAGCGATTCCTTTCCTTTAATTGAGACTAAGAAAGCTATGTAAGAAGTGGAAAGAAACGATATGAGAAAGTGGAGTCTGTGTACTTTATAGAATTTTGAGCTTTTCTGCAAGCTATTGTAATGAAGTAGGTTAGCTAGTGAACTCTGAGCACCTGTGTGAATAGTACTCAACTACTCATTTCATTCAGTAGTATAAGTAGATAAGCTTTTTGGAATTTGGTCGTCAAGGTATTCCAGTTCATAAGTTGATACTGATAAGCTCTGTAAACTTAAAAAGTGTTTGAATCAAGGCTGAAACATTTTTTAATGATGAAGCGATTGTAGGTATTCTTTGGAGTTAAGATTCAAGAAGTTTGAAATCGAGTAGCAAAACTTTTTGTTGTTACATGAATATTCTTTCCTGTTAAAAAATAACGAGCTGGTATAGCCAAAAAAAAGAGGAAAAATACACATTCACATTCACCTGTGAAGTAGAATTTAGTATCTTCATCACTTAAAAACAATCCAGTGACATTTTTAATCAATATAACCATGATCTACATCAAAGCAACTTGATCCCACAAAATACCCAGTAATAATAATGATAATAATGATGGCTTTATTCTGTAAGGTATATCAGGAATACTCTAAAGAATTGTCAGTATGTCGTATAGCATCAGTTGGACAGAGACAGTGTACATGTATATATAGCAAAATGAAAATAAGTAGAAATTACATGGAGAAAAGATAAGAATATTCGCTCTATCTACAACTTTATTCAAAATACACAGTCAATTTAGGTAGACAGTCATATTGGCAATTAGATTCATAATAGGTAGTTAGTGACATGCTCATCATCAATTAGTTTGCTTTCAAAAACAGAAGTTAATTAGTCAGTTCATTTGTAATACTTTCTTCATCCCACAACAGACAAGCTAAATACGGTATTGTAGAGATTTTATATTCAGTGGTAGATGCATAAAGTTTCATGTACTTTCTCCTTGTCTCTCCTGATGACCGACACACAGAAAGCTTTAAGTGAAGAGGATGTTGGTCATGTGATAAAATAACTCCTGTCAGATGTTTACATGAGTTAATATGTTTGTGCAGAATAGTTTTAAGTAGAAGGTTTAGAGGTAGACCACTAGTTCTGGTGACAATCTTCAAAGTTATACGCAATATCGTATAGTGTTTTTTTCAGCAACCCAGGAAAGAATAAAGGAGAACAATAGAGGTGAACAGGCAAGATGCAGGAGTTTATAAAACTTAAAGGAAGAGGATAAGTTATACCAGATACTCACAGCTTCCTAGTATAGAAAGTTATTTGGAAAATTCTCCTAGAAATTAGTAAGATATGGCAGAACCAGAAAAAGTACAAAGAAAAATACACCGAGGTAAATCACACCTGTAACATTCTCTAATGCGCAACTGTCAATGAAACAGGAATCATGAGAACTAAGCAGTTTGCATAGATTACGTTCATGTCTGGAACTAAAGTTTGTATTCTGACACATTGAAGAATTAAGCACGAGACCATTCAAGGAGGATTATCGTCTTGCAGTAGACAGGAAATTATTTAGTTGAAAAGGAGAAAGGTATGAAAACTGTCAGGTCATCAGCATATTCGATAAAATTGACACTAACTGAAGATGGTAAGTCATGCAGAAAGAAAGAGAAAATACAGGGTGGAAGGATGGCTCTTTGAGTAACACCAGTCACAGTAAGCAATGTAGTGGAGCGCTTCCCTCTCAGGACAGCATATTGTTTCCTTTCAAGGAAATTGGAATACAGCCAGTTGATTATCCAGGATTAAGTATGAGTCCTGTCTAGCTTGTTGAGTAAAAGAGGTCTGCAAAGGTACACCTGACATACTTGGGATTACTGGCAATATTGTGACAAAAGACAGAGGTGTCATCTAAAGTGCTACTTCTTTTATAAGTAAGTTGATTAGGGTCCCTAAAAGCCTCCAATGAGGGCTCAAACACGGGTATTACTAGCTTCTCTATTATTTTCAAGAAAGGAGAAGTAACTGCAATCGGATGGAATTCCAAATATGCTGCTTGAGTCCCTGACTTATGGGAACTGTCTAAATATCTTTCCATGCAGCTGGTATGGTGTTTTCTGAAAACGATCTGTTAACCATGTTAGTTAATGGATAACATAAACTATTAGCACACTTCGTGAATACGAAGCTTGACATACCATCCTGCTGTCGGAAATAATCATACACTGATGACATTCATCTAAAGTTAAGACTAAGCATTCTACTTTCAGTCATTGAGTTACACATCAGAACACTATTCTATCTATTCATAATTGCAGGGGATAGTTGAGAACAATCGCTAACCTTCGCATACAACAAGTATGATCAATAACGATTTCATTATCATGTATGTGGCCATTAAATTAGTCAAACCAATCCCAATGCACTCACCAAAATGACCCAGAATGCCCGATTTACCCTCCGACTCATTCACTGAACAGTACAGTAACGATTTATTTTAAATCATTCAACTAGGAAAGTCAACTTGTTCTGATTACCGGATTGATGACCAGTTTTGTTTAACTAACTGGGATCTGAAAGCAACTTATATATATATATATATATATATATATATATATATATATATATATATATATATATATATATATATATATATATATATATATACGGCGTGCAGTTACAATGAACCAAATCGGTTAAAAATAGGGTCATTCTCATTTTTAGCTATAAATTTGTCAGATATTTGCTTCGGTGTAAATGTTTCTCCTGAACCACAGATTGGTTTAAACTCTGATGCCAATCAGATTTTTATTTCACCTTCATTCATCACCAAATATCAATAATCTCACTATAATGTGTGCACCGAAAAGAAATTCAAGCTTCTAATTATTCCTATCAGCTCCTAATTCTTTAACTTATTGTTTCTTTTAGTAACTACAAATGACCTTGATGTTCAATGATTAATCATACTACATTTTATTCATTAGGCGGTAAATTGTTTTTTAAATTTACGTAGTTGAATGTAAACATTAGTAGTAAACGATGTGGTAAGATGAATGTTTCCACATGATTACATACTTAACTGAGATATTTCACAATGGAACCATATCATAATTACTGATAATACTGAGTGATTACAAACTAATTAATTAATAAATAACATGCTTAATATGTATGTATATCTATCTGTATGACGTAAACATTTACACACCAAGAAATCTGTTGTTTGCATAAATCGTGATTATAAAGGAATACTTAGTCTCATAAGTGAAAGGGAAACAAAGGTGAATGGAAAGGGTTAAACAATTAGGAAAGAGAAAACAGATGAAAATCCTATCAAGGTCATTCTTATTAATTCCATAAAGTTTATCGGTTACTAACAGAACTATTCATATGAATTTGTGTGTGTACGTGTGTGTGCCTGCCTGTCATTTCAAATGGTGATGTAAACATTGAGGCTGATGATTTACAATCTGGTGGCTAGCAGCGTTTTATCCTATTTGGAAGTCATCACCTAGTGATTGGAGTGTAAACGCTATAAACTTGTCATATTGGAAAGTGTTAATGTGAGTTTTGAATACTCAGGCGAACATTTATATGACTACTTTGAGGTTAGCTTGTTTCAGACACCGATAAACAGGCGCTATAGGTGATGTTCAGCATTGAACATATGAATCTGCAATAGTCTAGTATACTTCCTGTATGAATTTTGAAAAAGCAACAATAAAACGTGGTTTATCTGAAACGTGTGATGCATTGGTGGAACACATTTCGAACAATCATCTGACGTATTCCATGTAATTATGTCTGAAATGCAGTTGTATGACCAGATTATTTGAAATGCATTACTTTAATACATCACATATTTCAGATGAACTCCGCCTTCTTCGAGTGGAACCTGCATGGGAAACGATGAGTTGGGTGACATGAAGGAGATGGTGTGTGAGGAAGAAATGAAAGGTTATGGGCAGTGGTGAAGCCAGGTCCAAAGGATTTCAGAGAACAGACTGAACTGGTGATGTACTACTGAAGCACTGTGTTTCACTACGAACCCAAAGGATAAATAATAAGACTGAATCCGGGCTTGTATACTGTCGTTCGGTTGATCAACCAGAGAATTAAAAGAGAATAACGCGTTTCTTAATATCTGAATTTTGATTACAAATGAGTCGTGGAAAAAGGTCCAAGTTCAGGCAGTGAAGTTTAGAGAACTTTGGTCACTGGAAAACATCATAAGAGGTTTAGAGTCACTTTCGGAATTGCAGAAGAAGACAAATGTCAGTGCACGCTGCCTCATTTAGCATTAAAGGAAAATGGTCACTGGGGAAGTTAGATGCTTAGATAATGAAAAGTGACCGGTTTACTTCAGTTTATATTAAGATCAATACCATTCGTCTACATAAGACAACTAAGACAATAATTTGGTTGGTTGAGGCTAGCAAAAGAGTCCAGGACGCGCGTTTCGTCCTATTTGGGACTCGTCACCCGGACGTACCTGCACCCAAGTTAGTGATGTTGCTCCCACTGAGACTCAAACCTCGCACCCATCACTTCAAACACCAAAGCATTTTCCACTATATCGCAGAGGAACGATGGGTTTGGAGTGGTGGGTACGAGGTTCAATTCTGAGTGGGAACAACATCACTGACTGGGGTGCAGGTACGTCCGGCTGACGAGTCCTAAATAGGACGAAACGTGCGTCCTGGACTCTTTTGCTAACCACAACGAACCAAATCATCACAATTAAGATTTCGGGCAATATCGAGGCATCCGCATACGAGCCCATCTGCCAATAGAGATCGATCAATTCGATCCGATAACACAACGGCGAATAAGAAGTATATCAATAAATAGTAATGACTAAGACAATGTTTGATTGATTTGAAGGCTATTTACAAATTGTAAAGTTCAATTTGACATTTCTCATAGTTGAGTAGATTTTCGGCCAACAAGTCATGCACTCAAGAAGGAACATTGGTGACAACCACCCAACGAATATTTCAAATTCTTCGTCCCATTCAAGATATGCTGATTTATTCAAATCCTCTAGCCAGATTCAAATGATCTTAAAACTTCGGCACTGCAAAGTGAGTTTTCTTAGGTACACCATTGATGAACTCGGTCAGAAACTGGCGAAATGACCATCTAGTGTTTAGGTCCCTGTGACTTGATATGAAAAACTACAGATCAGTGGAAGTACTTGTTATCTGTTAATGTAGTCCAGGAGTACATATCAGCTGCTGTTTCTGCTGTGGCTATTTACTTCAGGTTAATAAAGGCCTGCCTTGCTACCTTCCCAATCCTGCCTTTGACATCCTCGTCTGTGCCACTGCAGCCGTCTGTAGTTGAGACAATGCTGCCCAAATAGGTAGGTAGGCGAAAGATACTACTTCCTTTGGATTTCTCCCGTTGATGGTGATTGCTGTTGTTGCATGGATATCTTCATCACCTCTGTCTTCTCTACGTTCACCTGAAAGAAGTCCCGTTTTCGCTGCTTCACCTCGCCTCGCCTCCTCTGTCAACTCGTTAGTTTTCGCTTGTAGATCTTCGAGTTTGTGCAGCATTAGATGTAAGTCATCATCTCTGGAATCCAAATCTTCTAAGGTCTTTTCATCAGTCCAGTCAGCGTATGGCCATCTTCTCTCTCCTCATGGTTGTCTGTTGCATGATGCAGTGCACGACAACCAGGAAGATCATCGGTGATAGTAGTCGGCAATCTTTTCTTACTTCCATCTTCCTTTCAAGTGCGTCACTGAGTTTTCCTGTGTGAATCACTTGGCATGTGACTTTTTCATATAGCTATTCAATGAGGTTGATAAAGATTTGTGGCACTAAAACCATAGTGATGAAGCAGCTGCCTGCCAAATTAATTCTCGGTCGACGCTATCGAAAGCTTTTTCAAAGTGCAGGAAGTTGAGATTAAGATCCCGCTGACTGGCATTCCATCCTCTGTTAGTTGGTTGGAGGCAATTGGCAAGACGCCCTGGACCTGGGTTTCGTGCTCGTTGGCACTCGTCAGGAAGAGGTATGTGCAACCTCGATGGAACATCTATCAATGTGCACTGCAATGCTAAGCCTCCTAGCTTGGTGGCCGCATTGCAAATATGATTGATAGGATTCGGTCTGTACTCAGGACTAGAGAGCATGAAATCGGTTGCACTCCTGTGATCAATCATTAAATTCTATGCTCTGTTCTATGATGATGCGCAACGCTGTGATTTGGTCCGCACATGATTTGTTCTACCTGAAGCCAGCCAGCCTGCTCCGCTAGTAACTTTGAATCCATAGCATCCTTTAGTCTCTCCAGGATGATGCGGCTCAATGTTTTGCTTGGGGTGGACAGCAGCATGATCCTGCGCTAGTTCTTGTAAAGACTTAGATCTCCTTTCTTTGGAAGTTTGACAAGGTAGCCCTTATTCCAATCAATAAACAGGTACTCTTCCTTCCTTCCGAACCTTCTGCAATATTGGTGTGAGCACGTCCTCTGTCTCCTTCTAAAAGAAATAAATTAGCTATAACAGATATTGTTTAGCCATCCTGACCAACCGACTAGGTCCAATCAACATCAAAACTAAAGCATGAATGCCGATGAAGAAACACAATTCATATAGAGTGAGATTTTCAAGAGGATAATTTATGATTTTATGTGGTTAACTTCCTAGTTTCTTTTTAATCATGCAAAACGTTTTGGGCTTGAAGTGAATATGTAATCTGATGAACAATCGCATTTCATGGCCTAGTCTGTATGCTAAAAGTCGCTTTTTTTTGAGTTCGGTTACGACTGAGGTTTTCGTTCACATCAAATCATCATCCTTTTGTAGGAGAATTTATAGTGGTTAGTACAACTTTAAATCTACTTTTCTGTTTAATGTAATTCTACTCATCAACCTCTAACCCCTTTTTATATCTTGTCTCTGTTACATTTCATGGATAGTTCATACGAGTGAAGGATAATATAAAGAAAGCCTATGATAAAATACCGGGACTTCAAGCTGCACTCCCAAGAGAATATGGTGGACAAAACAGAAGTATAGAAGATATACTGAGTAAGTTAGCTGAATCACTCAGTATTAATTATTATTCAGTTTGAGGTGTATTGGATGTTATTTTGAAGGTTAAATTCATCATGAACTGAAATCAGTTGTAGAACCTTTGAAAACCTGGAAGTACTGGAAAGAAATAAGAAAATAAGGGGTCATGTGTGTACACTTCTGAAGAGTTCCATACAAGAATGAAACAGCTGTCTAGTACCTCCAGGTTTTTAATGGTTTCACTAACTGATTTCAGTTCGTAATGAATACAGCCCTATTAATGACTACGCTGAATTTTTGAGCAGGTTGTCATCATGGATTTACATCAGTCCAAAATCCTATGAGCAACCCATAAACATTTTATCTTGGTTCGAGACCTCTAAATAGTGTTCTGTATCAAAAGATATGGGATATAGTCCTTGAAATAGTTCTCAAAGACCTATACTTCCTTAAATTCAAACAACAAAATAGAAGAGGGTGACCATAGTTTAACATCAGCAGTCAAAAAACTGAATGCTAAACAATCTGGCTGAATTCCACGGTTAGTATTTCTGATTAGAATTTCATTAGCTATCAAACTGATGTCAGACTGTGATGAAAATGTTTTTCTAAGTAGAAACACAATCATAAACCACTCCATGGAATTATAATTGTGCTGTTTTGCGGAACCTTATCAATTTTTAAAGACATAATGATGTAATCCGACACGGAAATTCCAGTACACAATACATAGACCAGTATCCTTCAGTCTTTTTCAATGTTAATCTGCTTATGCGCATTTTGTAAATCTCTTTCTTCACCTGTTGTTGTGACGAATGAAGACCTAAACTGGGAAATGTACATCCTTTAGTTTACCTCTTCAGTCTGACAAGCCCCTTTTCCAAATAAATGTGATAATCTCATGAATACCAATGTACATTTTCCAATTATCATGACTATAAGGACTTGTCTTCCACTCGGTTTTATCCAAAAACTGTTATGCACTTCGATTAATAATGAGGTGTGAGATGACAACTGATAATATTTTTTTAAGTAGTGGTTGAATGGTCTACTTCTTCTGACAGTTGCTTTATTATATCACAATATGAACCAACAGGATTCTCTATCATAGCACACAAGGAAACGGAACATAAACACAGTGCTGCAAATTAAGAGGTTCAGCATAGGTTAGTTAGCTTGCTGTTCTTATTCCGAATGACTATGATGACACGTGGAATTCGACGATAATTTAGTACTGAACCTGTTTCGACTTAGTACCTGAGAATTAGCTACTAGTTCTTTTTCAATACCTACAGGTATTTTAACTATCATTTACGAGGGATACAACACTAGCTAGAAAGTATGCGGTCCAACTGATGAGTCCGAAATATGATAAAACATGCGTGCTGAATTCAACTGCTAGCCGCCAATCACACTACAAATCCTTTGTAGTTTGTTACACTTGCTCGGAAATGATGGATCTCATTGAAAATGTTATGTAATGATTTAATTTGAAGGTAGTATTACGCTTTTTCTAGTTGAATACGGTACTACGTTGGTTACTGCGATAATTGCATCTAAAGACTTCAGATGCTATGTATCAGTGCCACTATGACTTTCCTCTCAGCAACAAATCTCGGTGATGATTGGAGATGAAGAGAAAATTTGGACAGCCGCCAGATTTGAACCAGCGACTACAGGGTTACCGAATTGATGCTCTACCCTCTTTAATTCAGTTGGATTTCGATTATGATGAGAAGTCCTGACTAGGCAGCCAGTGTGAATACGATCAAGCGGTAGTAACGCGTCACGAATTCACTTAGCAGTCGAGCAAAACCACTTGATAATTGAAGGTGAAATGGAAATCTGGTCAGCTGTCGGACCTTGTAGCTCCGCTGATAGAACATCGGGCCGAAAAGCTGGTGGTTCAATTTCGACTGCGGTCCAAATTTCATTTCACCTTCAATCATCAGCCAGTATAAATGCTAGTCTGCCAAAGTACGGTTATCTCAAATAATCAAATGATAAACAAATTCCGAGATGTTCAATATACTACTTCCAAGTAATACAGCTTAGTGACTAGCGACATTTTTATCTTATCAAAGGCATTGGACACCATAAACCTTACTGACTGAAACATTTAACCCGATGATGGTGAGGATTTCAAAGGCAGATAACTAAGCTTAAATGCCAAACAGTGGAGACAATCAGAATTTATTGCCCCAAAAAAGTTGATTTTGTAGCTCTTTTCTCCTAATCACTTTGTACTGAAACCTGAAAGCCATCTAACATTCAAGCTTCATATCAGGTGATATAAATAATCAAAAGGTGTTCGTCTGACGACGAACCAACCAAGAACCCATCGCCCAACAAATATACAGAAGAAGAAAGTGGAGATGGATTGGATTTGAGATACACTGAGAAGACCATTTGAGGACATCACGCGCCAGGCCAGGTCAGGCCATCAATTGGAAGCCAAATGGAAAAGACGAATTGAGCGTACAATGGTGACATGAAGGAGATGGTGTGGGCAAGAAATGAAAGCCTATGGGTAGTAGTGGTGACTGTAGAGAAGACAGTTCAATGGAGACCTGTTACTGAAGCCCTATGTTCCACTAGGAACTTAAGGGACAAATAATAATAATAGTAACAATAATAATAAAAGGTGTTCGTCATTAGGATTACTGACTAATGGTGTTTTGTATGTATAGTGGTTGTGACCTTTGGGAATCATAAAGGCTGGTCCACAAATAAAAACAAAGGAATAATTTAGCTTTTATTTCATATCATTTAGAAATTAAAAGAAAAACAGATTGTGTTTCTATTGTTTGTTTCTTCACAAGTTCAATAGTATGGCAAAATACACATGGTGATCGTAGTAGGCTTGTCAATAGGAATTATTCGGCTATAGATTTTCCTGTGCACGGCCGGAGGCTGAAAGTTAATCGAGGAAATATAGTAATTAAGTGAGACTGAAGGCGATTCAATATCTTATCTTATTAGATGAATCAATAATTTAGCCGAGTAGTCAGCTTTTAGCAGTAATTAGATAAAATCCAGGTCAAATCCTTGTTGATAGATAGACAGAACCAACGTAGAACTTCACGTACACGTGTGTAACAGCTCAATTTGCCACACTTTACAGTAGTATACAAAGAACACATGAATAGGAAAGACTGACATCAAAGTAGTCAAAGGTGTGTGTCCGGGGGGGGGGGGGGGTTGAATATTAACGTTCGTCAGAACATGCAAGTTGTAGAAGGTATCAAGGAGTGAATACATCTACGCCACTGTGATCGATTTTCAAACATTTCCTGCAGCCTCGGTAACTCCAGTCAAGTAGTCTACACCTACTTACATAATTCAGACCAACATTCAAAGACTTCTCGCACTGTTGCCACGTTTTGGTTTGGCCACCATGAACCCTCTTCCAAAGTAATCCAACTTCTTCAAGCATTCTATATCGACGTAGACGGTGGGTTGGCATAGGCAGCACATGTCCAAGCCCCCTCAGTTGATAAAGGTTCACAACCTCATCGACTGACTTGTCTTCCTTGCCTAGTACCCTTCGCCCAGTTGAGGTGGCGCAGTCATTTCTAGACAGCTTACCCCACCCTAACCCTGGTGGGGTAGTGGGTACGCAGGACCTTCAGGTTCCGTGGCCAGCATATTATCATTGAGCCACTGGATTTTATAGTCCACCCCGGAATACACCCATAGGTGGAATACAGAATACGTCAATCAGCTTTGTTGCTACATTATTTCTATCGAGTAACATTACTTATTCAACACTTAGATGTATGACACTAAGAGGTAACTATTCATCAATACACTCTTTGCACAGTGCAACTAAGCAAGAAGTTAACAGCTATGCAGACAGCTCAGGAGTAACAAATGTATCTGAGGTACCGGGTGTGCAACTAAAAACCTCTGGCTTACGATAAGTGTCCACAAACGCAGAACTTCAATACAGTAATTCTCAGTTTTAAAGTTCAACTACCAAATATTGAAGATGAATTTCTAATGAAGAAATCATATGGGATAGAAATGTGAAATCCCATCGTGGATTCTTTGGTAGGTGTAAATGTTCAGAAGACGTACTGTGATCTCATCGAAATCATCATTAGTGTCGACACTAAGAGTACGAAACCTGTAAGATATCTGCTACTAAGTGACATGAATAGTTATAGACTGCTTAGATCAATAAACAGTATTTGGCAACTAGACCAAGGCTATCTAGACAGTGATCAGGAGTTGGGCTCATCAGTAGTGTACTAGAATACCCTCAGGTTAGAGAACCGAATTGTGTACATTGTCCCGATTTCGGCTGTTTAAATGGATTAGGCCTGAAACAAGTGAAATGGTCATCTGAATTCGCTTAAAATGGCTGACCAGCATTGCAAATAGACATTAGTGGTTCATGAATAATTATGTCAGTCAGTAGCATATATCATGTGGCATCTAAATAGACTACTCAGTGACATAAATCGTTAAAAGCAACTCATTTTCGTCTTCGTAGGTAGATTAGTGTAGGCTGATATCCGAAGGTTGTTCCAATTGTTCACTATCAAGCATGCTGAAGTAGCCAAACTAGCAGTCTTCTCTCGACTTCCGAACAAGAGTTTCAACGCTTCAAATAGACCTTTACAAACTGCTGCCAACAATACCTCAGCACAAAATCAAACGGCCACAGCTTCTTAACAAAACAGCACAGAGAACAACTCAAACAATTGAGATGCAACAACGATTTGATAATAACGCTTCTAGACAAGGGTGCGGGTGTGGTCATACTAAACAGAAGTGTCTATATTAACAAAATGTTGGCTCTGCTCTCGCATGAAAATAAATTTTATAAACCTGGTAACGAGAAAAATAACACGGGACTGATTGAACAACAACTTATCGATGTTCTGAAAAGGTTATAAAATTATCAGCTAATAACCAATGAACTCTACGAAAGCATCAAACCAATAGGCTCCACAATTACATGACTTTACGGATTACCGAAACTTCACAAGGCCGGTCTACCCCTTCGTCCGAGTCTAGACATGTCTGAATTTCCTTACTACTCAGTCGCGAAATGGCTAGCCGGAATCCTAGAACCTGTAAGAAGAAGAATAGCCATCCATTCTCTAAGTGACACTCTTGAATTTATTGATTGTGTAAGAGATGAAGACGTATCTAACAAATGTATGATATCACTTGATATCGAGTCACTTCTCACCAATGTTCCACTTGCCCAAACTATCTCGTTCTTATGCAGATACATAGGAGATAATAACATAAATGTTGGAATACCGACCTACCGCCTTAAGGAATTGTTACTCAGATGCACACTCAACTTTCAGTTCACATTTAACGGCGTGATTTGCAGACAGGAAGATGGAATCGCCATGGGATCCCCACTAGGTCCACTACTAGCAGACTGCTTTATGGCCAGTTTGGGGAACGGACCCTTAAAATCAACGATTGAAGGTTTTCATCTGTACGAAAAGGTACATGGACGATACTTTTATTATCTGTGATCAATATTATTTGAATCATGTTCTATAAATATTCAATAACTGCCACTCAGCAATCAGACTCACCCTTGAGGTCAAAAATCGATCAGAAATTCACTTTCTTGATGTAGTGCTGACAAGAACAGCCCATGAAATGTTAAGCGGGTCAATACAAAGAAAACCAATATGGAATGGTCAATTGACGAACTTAAATAGCTGGGTCACTTTGAATCGTAAGCGAAATTTGATCATATCTCTTGTCACTCGTATTAGACGAATCCGCAGTCCCGAGGTGTTAGAAGAGGAAATTTTTGTTCTAAAGAACATCCTAATTGAAAATGGATCCCCACCACGCTTCATCCTTCACCTCACTACCTTTTAACTTGATGTGCTGATATGAGATGTGGCAACTCGGACCGTTACACAGTAATGTCTGGTCCTATGTTGATAATGATGATGATGATGATACCTCACAAAGAGAACCTCACCATCGTGCCAAAAGAAACACTCTGTATGAATTTAAACTTCAAAATTGATTCTGCCACTGACACTCTAAAAAGGAGGGTATCAAGCGCTGTAAGGAGAACATTCTTTGCATCAACGCTGAGACTAGTATTCTCTTATCACCCAACGATTTGTAATAACTCAAACGAGAAACTTTCACATCTGACCACTTCTATGTGCATATGTCAATTCACCTACTCATGTGGAGCCAGGCATATAGGTCGTTCGATGCGACTGTTTTGGAAAAGGGATGAAGAACACTATCCTGCATGGTTACAAAGACGTAACAATGGAGCGATAGGGATTGCTATAGTTGAACACATCGTGAACACGAATCACGCCATATCAAGAAGCTCCTAGTTCAAAGTCATGTATCAGGTAAACCTTCCAAAGGCTGAACATCTTCGTATTCTCCGCAACGCCATCTATATATGGAGAAACTTGAAGTGTGTACGCAAAAGAAGATTGTTCAACCCTTTCTCCTTTCATGGTCTTAGTTTTCAGTCTTTGAAGTCTCCTGTTCGCTGAAATACTGGTTCATTCTTCAAATCATTATAAGTATATTTCACACATACTCAAATAAACTCGAAAAAATTCAGCTCGTACAGCTGAAATGTACAGATCAACTGAATCTGAATATCACACATGGATAAACCACTTCTCTATAAATTATTTGATCATCATGTAAACTATTTCCTAGTTTCATGGTCACCAAAAGTATTTCTCTCAGTTGAATAGGAAGTTTTTCAGCTGTTTCGAAAAGTAAGGTATCTGTTTGCCGTCCAACGAAATCTGCAGATCTGTATGAGTAGTATCTGATCATAATCTTCAGAAAATCGTTTCCAACATCTCAGTTTTGCTGCTATTAAACTATTCACTAGGCTATAGGAACCATCAACGTATACTATACAGTTTTCTCATCCAATTCCACATACTCCATTATTTTACACTACCTGTTGATCATTATTGATTTTTTTTTCAGGAGAACAAAATGCGGACTTTAAAGACTACCTATCCAAAGGTGAAACTTTATGGAGAGGAATGTCTGTGGATGAAAGAAAACGACCTGAATCAGCTAAACGACTGATGAATGAATATAAAGATGTAGATGATCGAACAATGGGTACAAGTGGGACATTTATTAGATTACCAGTAAATGATTGAATAACTGTCATTTCGAATTCAGTGTTATTTTATACAACAGAAAAAAAAATTATTTATTTTTACATCAGCATGTAAATTTTGTATAATTTAATTGAGAATAACAATTGCATATGATTATATACACGCATATTTCTCGGTTGTAATCAGAAGTTTATGAAATACGATTTGAATATTACTTATTGATTGATCTGTATTGATTTTAGCTGGTCAACGGATGACTCGCTAGCAAATCTTTTAAAAAAATATAAATTATTAGAACTGCGTGGTATTACGCTGCTGTCCACCTCAAGCTAAATATTAGGCCACATCATCCTGGAAAGATTAAAGGATGCTCTGAATTCAAAACTACAACCGGAACAGTCTGCCTGGTTTCAGGAAGAACAAATCATATGCGGATCAAATTGTAACGCTATGCATCATCATAGAACAAAGCACAAATTGGCAGCCATCTCTCTACCTCAAATTTATCGACTTTGAAAAGGCATTCGACACCGTCAACCGAAAAGTAATTTGGCACGCAGCTGCTTTACCACTACGGCTTTAGTGACACAAATCTTTATCAACCTCGTTCATCAGCTATATGAAAAGGCCACATGCCAAGTGATCCACAATGGAAAGCTCGGTTACGCGTTTGAAGTGAAGACAGGAGTAAGACAAGATTGCCGCCTACTATCACCGATGATCTTCCTGATTGCGGTCGACTGGATCATGCAGCAAACCGTGAGCAGCGAGAAGAGAGGTATATGCTGGCTCGGCCGATGAAAAGAGGCTAGGAGATGTACAGGCAAAATCCAACAGGTTGACAGAAGAGACAAGGTAGTGAAGACGCAACTTCAAGTGAACGTAGAGAAGACAGAGGTGATGAAGATACCCAACCGACAACAGCATCAACAACAAGCACCAATCACCATTAACGGGAGAAACCTAAAGGAAGTTATCTCTTACACACACGTAGGCAGGGCTGCATCGTTTCAACTACAGATGGTGGTAGCACAGACGAGGATGTCAAAACCAGGATCGGAAAGACAGCAAGACAGGCTGTCATTAATCTGAAAACAGTGTGGAGATCTACTACACTGCAGTCAGCATGAAGCGTGAACAACATCCGGACTTTCAACACCAATTCAGTCAAGTCAGTGCTTCTATATGGTTGAGAAGCTTGGCGTCTCACGAAAATCACTTCCAACAAACCCCACACATTCATCAACAGCTGCCTACGCTCACTAGGTACTGATGATCAAATGGCCAGAATAACAAGAATGAGCAATAGGGAATTCTCTCTGGAGATGAACCAACCAAGAATCTATCACGCAACAAATGTGCAGAGGAAGAAAGTGGAGATGGATTGCAATGGGCATACATTGAGAAGGTTGATTGGGGACATCACGCGCCAAGCCATGTCACACTGCTGAGTGGAATCCAAAGGGGAACCGACGAGTTGGGTGTCTGAGTCGAGGGTGACATGGAGGAGATGGTGTGTGAGGAAGAAATGAAGGATTGTGGACAGTCGTGGTGTGAGGTTTTGAAGACTGGAGAGAAGAGAGTGTAATGGAGGTGTGCTACTGAAGCCGTATGTTCCACCAGGAACCCAAGGGAAAAATAATAAAATTAGATTATAGACATCTAGACTGTAGATATAGCGAATGTTCTGGAAGAAGTTGAGCACCTAGTCTGATATTAATAAATAAAATAATTAGATATATTATTGGTGTGCTTAATTTATAAGGTATTAGACGGTTTAACGATAATTGGTGCCGAAAATTGACATTAGCTACCGAAACAATAAGAACCAAAGAGACGATCGATAGCTGCTTCTTTGATGTAGTAGTCGGGCATGTATATCAGAATGACTCAACGAGATATACTGGTGGAACGCTTGTACCCTCGAAGTTCTACCACACTAGAAACGCTTATTGGATGGTAGTAAGACGAGAAGTCAGTGTTGAAATGCAAACTACTACACTATGATAGTTTGAGGGAGAGGTCGTACTGCTGCTAACTGGACGAGGTGCAACAGTAGTAAGGTGTTTCCCTAGGATAACCAGCAGTGCCATGCTGACGTCGCCTTCCCAAAGAGGAGGGGGTGGCGCTATAAAAGTGGCCCTAAAAATAACATACTCCAATAATGCCCCATGGTCTGCTGATGCCAGAGGTATGGGTTCTCTCTATCCGCTGTTCGAACAACCAAGCCTCTAAACAACACCCCGAAAAAGGCCATGTATGACAGCCATCAAGCAGATGTTTTCATTTCTTCTGCCTTTAATGGATATGGTTGAGTCATACAGTGAAACAGAGTGAACTGCAGTACAGTTCACTCAACACTTAATTTGCAATTAGATATCATGACTGAGCCATAGTTCATGCAAGTGGGCAAAAACAAAACGAGTCTTTTGTGTGTATGTGAAGAATTCGTCAAGGCTGATCCGACTTCTCAGGTAAGTGAAGTATTTGACGCATTCAATCATTTAACTCCCTACTAGTAATCACGGCACCACTTCAGACCAGTCATGAAGCAATAATTCACATTTGGGTGGCGAGAGACGCATTCCAAACATCTTCAAACTGTCACTCAGTCTCCACAAAGCCTAATCTTAACAGTGTCTTCATCTAACAGGACTATGTCGTTCGGGAACTCTAGATTTAACAAGGATTCTCCAATGCTAAAATTAACTCCTATGAATTCAGATGACAAGAGTGAAACCTCCAAAGGTGTGTCTGCGATAAAATTAAGTAGGAATGGAGAAGTGAGTATCTTTGACGGACAAAACTTGATGTACACTGCCCACCTGAATACTGAGGATAGGCTCCAACACGTCAACGGGTGTTTGAGTACAGGGTCATCAACAAGGTAATTTACTTAATCGGTACCCAATTCAGTGAGAGACACTACCATAGAATCTTGCGGTTGGCCGAGTAGAATGCCACACTAAAGTCAAGAAATACAGCCGGTGTCAGTAAGTGTGTTAGTGTTCCAGAACTAGGCGGTGTGAATATTCAATCAATACACCTGCGGCTGGGTCTAAACCCTGTTTGATTTTCTTAAGCTTCATGTTCCCGAGCTCCATTGAGATGCCTGGTAATTAAGGAACTTAGAATCGAAGACACTATTTTCGTCAAACTGATTGCACTGTGGTTATTACAAGGGGATTTGCCCTCTTCCTTGAACATTGGGATAATTAGTGGTTGGGGCCAGTTAGAGGGGATCATATCTGACTCCCAAACACCAGCTAATTGGGTCAATAATTCACTACTGCCATCCTTGAGTACCCCTGGAACTAGTCCATCTGCTTTTCCTCGTTTCAAGCTACCTAAAGCTTTCTCGATTTCTACAGGTGTTGAGGGTCCTATCTCAATATTCCTTTATGGGTCGGACCGGTTAGCTGACAATGAAATAATAGCTGGAGGCCAGTTGAACTATTCCTCGAAGTGTTTCGCCCATCGTCCCAGTCATCTCCCCTGCGACTGAATCACAGACATATCCTGCCTATCTACCGTCTCACCAACCATTGACCTTTTCACTTCAGTTCCCTTAATAAGTCTAAATAACTGTCCACTGTTACCTATCATCACTGGGTTTTCCATCTCCTTCGCTGCCCACCATTGTTTAAAGTCATTGGTTAGACATTACGTTTGTCTATATTTGAGCTGCATTCGCTCCTCATTGTTTGAAGCTTGCAGGGACGGGCTTCGGATGCGTCCATTACTTCAGAAGCTGCTACTGATATCCACTTGCTCTTTTTAATCCTTTACTGAGCGTCGGTTATAGCAGACTAGAGATAGCGACAGGCTTCTTCTGGATTAGTGATATTGTTCTATACTGATACATGTCCAGACGGTTTCCCATTAAAGTAGCCTTAGTTTTCCCAATGATTTTGCTGCTGTAGTTTTCCCATGTCCATTTAGGCGCACAAATACGCTTGACTGCTGTCAGAACACATGTTTCAGGAAGAGTGGGAATCTTCTACTGAACATCCCCAGACTTAACTGATAGCAATATGGTATTTTCGCGTCCACAGCCGAGTTGAGATCAGTGGATGCCACACCAGATACTGTCTCTCTTTATATCTGAAGTTCGTGTTGGTTGCAGCAGGCGATTGCAGGTATCTGTTCATCCTTCGCTCATAAGAAGAAACAAGGATCATAATGAATAAATGAGAGCATCGAGGCATCTTATACACTTAGGAAGTGTTTGTCAAGAAAACTGTAGATGTTAGACGTAACAAAACTTCAGCTGATGTTTACAACACCTCGGGTGCTAGAAATATACATAAATACACTGGTTGATATACTCTTTCGAGACTACACAAACGGTGGTTATTTTCGTAGTGCATACAAGGATCGCCAGAGTTATTTTCCCAGGATAAAAAGCAGGCTGTTAGTTCTGTTTCGGAACATTTAAAATGATTTTTTTCCAAACAGTAACTTTGAGGTTGTTGAAGGAATTTATCTGAATCTCCCAGTTGCCGTTTTGAAGCTATGGTTCATCGGTTTAGGGAGATGACTTTCAAGCAGTGAATAACAAGGTTGCTAAATGCATCTCTTTATTATTACGTCGTAAAAAGATAGCAGAATTAAAGGAAAGAAAATAAGCGGTGGTTCGGAACGTTAAAGATTAGCATCATGGAAAGAGAAGAGATCTAACTAGTTTATTTCATATGCAAAACTAGAGAATACAAAGGTAGTGAACATATACAATCTTGAGCAAGTTTCTATCTATTCTGTCGATAATTTTCGGATATGAAGTTGTCGAGATTGCGTGATCAGTGTCAAGAATGCGGTCAATTATTGGACTGCTGTCACTAAGTCACAAACGACCCCTTATACTCTTTCTTCTATTCTAATAACTTCCTATGTAATATCAACTCTAATAAGTGAAGTAAGTACTTCACTAGTTTGCACAACTTCTTGTCAACAATCTAACTTTTATTCAGCTGTAGTTGTTATTCACTAAACATGGTAATTTTAATTGCATTTAATTGATGACAAATTATCTTGTTTGCTAATATATCCTCTGAACAAAAAGAATCTATCGTAAAACAATGAACACTTCGACTGAAGAAAACTACATACAACAGCGATTGTACAGCTTTGAAATTGCCACTATTCAACGTGCTTTTTGTTTTTATCTTGATGGGAATTCTTCATACATTTATTAAATTCACCCAGAAATAGCTTCTGAGGCGATAAAACTGGCTTATATGCAAACTGCATTTATTTTAAGATAGTATTCTTCAAAAATGAGGTCGTGGGTGTGTACTGCTGACAAGCTGGATACTAGGATGAAAGAGCTGGTCAGTGCCCACAAGTTTTAAACGATTGTCCACTTGATATCATTTAGTAACGTATACTATTCTCGATTAAGTTTATTCAATGCAAAAGACAGTGAAATAATATAGCTTAGCAACAGCTATATCAAATAACCTTATTCGATACAGAATTTATAGTCTACCAAAATTCTAATAGGTCAACATGATACAACACTCAAATATAGTGAACAGCAATTCTAGTAGTAAACAACTTTTCTAATGGTGCTAAATGATGGTTGCACGCAGGAAAATACACGATTATATTATCATTCCCTTGGGTTCCTGGTGGAACATACGGCTTCAGTAGCACACCTCCATTACACTCTCTTCTCTCCAGTCTTCAAAACCTCACACCACGACTGTCCACAATCCTTCATTTCTTCCTCACACACCATCTCCTCCATGTCACCCTCGACTCAGACACCCAACTCGTCGGTTCCCCTTTGGATTCCACTCAGCAGTGTGACATGGCTTGGCGCGTGATGTCCCCAATCAACCTTCTCAATGTATGCCCATTGCAATCCATCTCCACTTTCTTCCTCTGCACATTTGTTGCGTGATAGATTCTTGGTTGGTTCATCTCCAGAGAGAATTCCCTATTGCTCATTCTTGTTATTCTGGCCATTTGATCATCAGTACCTAGTGAGCGTAGGCAGCTGTTGATGAATGTGTGGGGTTTGTTGGAAGTGATTTTCGTGAGACGCCAAGCTTCTCAACCATATAGAAGCACTGACTTGACTGAATTGGTGTTGAAAGTCCGGATGTTGTTCACGCTTCATGCTGACTGCAGTGTAGTAGATCTCCACACTGTTTTCAGATTAATGACAGCCTGTCTTGCTGTCTTTCCGATCCTGGTTTTGACATCCTCGTCTGTGCTACCACCATCTGTAGTTGAAACGATGCAGCCCTGCCTACGTGTGTGTAAGAGATAACTTCCTTTAGGTTTCTCCCGTTAATGGTGATTGGTGCTTGTTGTTGATGCTGTTGTCGGTTGGGTATCTTCATCACCTCTGTCTTCTCTACGTTCACTTGAAGTTGCGTCTTCACTACCTTGTCTCTTCTGTCAACCTGTTGGATTTTGCCTGTACATCTCCTAGCCTCTTTTCATCGGCCGAGCCAGCATATACCTCTCTTCTCGCTGCTCACGGTTTGCTGCATGATCCAGTCGACCGCAATCAGGAAGATCATCGGTGATAGTAGGCGGCAATCTTGTCTTACTCCTGTCTTCACTTCAAACGCGTAACCGAGCTTTCCATTGTGGATCACTTGGCATGTGGCCTTTTCATATAGCTGATGAACGAGGTTGATAAAGATTTGTGTCACTAAAGCCGTAGTGGTAAAGCAGCTGCGTGCCAAATTACTTTTCGGTTGACGGTGTCGAATGCCTTTTCAAAGTCGATAAATTTGAGGTAGAGAGTTGACTGTCATTGTATACTGAAATACACGATTATAAGTGTTTTATTCAGTTTGCAGCTTTCCTGTTTGGGTTTATAAACGCATACAAACTAGAGTTTAGAATTCATTAACACTCTGAATCCTATTAGGTTTTCCTATTATATTATTCGAAGGGATTTCAGCTATTCACTTCACTGTGTGTATGTGCATAAAAGTGTGTGCGTACATATTAACCATGACGCCAATAAGTTAATTTCAAGTAGCCATACAAGTTATTCATATTATCGTCAACACCATTAATTATCAGAAATATCATCAACTCGAAAAACTAATATTAACAGCACTGAGCAAAATGAAGACAGAATGTATTCGAATTAGTAAGCTTTACAAGACGAAGAGATAAAAGCAGCATATAGAGGCTCTGGAAGCTAAGACGACGAAGTATTTATTCTGTACACACGCACACACACACCACCACCATCCGTACACATATACGCAAACAGACTAAACATACAACACATGTAATTCTGAAAACCCTTCTCTAAACACATATACATAGAGTGCAATTCATGGATAAATTAGTGTATCCAGTAAATTCGACAACGACAAAATCATCATAATAATAATGCTGTCCAAAATAAAGCTGGTATGTGTGTGTTTTCGCTAGCTTTCTCCACTATTACTCGTATGGAAGGGAAAAAAAATGAATGAAAAGCGTTTGGCATAATATTAGAAGCAGAATATGAGCAACACTAATTGAAACAATGCCAAAGCATTACAACACAAGGAAAGACAAAGATACACATACATTGTTAGAATAGAGAATTGATAGATGATTGAAAAATCAGCCCTCCATTGTCTGCGATATACTAATCTACTTTTTGAGTTATACACACACATAAGAATTTTTTAAGAAAGGGAATCAGCTAATTTTCTACACTAAAAAAAGAGTAAATGTCTATGAAGTTTCATAGGTGACAAGAAGAAGATGAAAAAAGGAGAAGAAAAGCTAGAAAAGATGTTTCTATGCATGTGTTTATGCATAAATATTTATTTATTTTTGTCTATCGTTTACACATGGCTGATGAACAATACTTTTCATTATACATAGATTACAATTTCTTGAAAAAGATAATGTAAAATGAAAAATACCATGGTATTAAAATGTCATAGTGGTGTGTGTACACAAGGCAGAGGAGAACAAGGTGGAGAAGGACAATACCAATAGAAAACTAATCATGACTTACTATTATTCATTGAAATCGGAAGATAATACACAGACTATAATGATATATGCCTGTATCCACACATATAAAACTACAAAGTTAATCAGTTAACTGGTTGAATAACAAAGAAAGCAGACAGAATTCATAACAGTAGTACTATCATTACTAGCTGAGTACTCATTACATCCAGTTGAATAAGACTCATAATACTTTCTATATGAGTAACAGCATACTCATACGTGTATACATGTTGTTTCTCTATTCCCCCTCCCTTTCTCTGTTGTGATTTGTTTACCACTAATATGAAGTTGACACAGGAACATACAGAGGGAATAATGAATTGCGTAATGCTCCCTTATTTCTTTCTATTCAAGTAACTTGTACAAACAGTTTGTTTTCATTACCTTACAAAAAATATTATGAGTCTTATTCAACTGGATGTAATGAGTACTGTTATAAATTCTCTTTGCTTTCTTTGTTATTCAACCAGTTAACTGATTAACTTTATAGTTTTATATGTGTTGATACAGGCATATATCATTATAGTCTGTGTATTATCTTCTGATTTCAATGAATAATAGTAAGTCAGGATTAGTTTTCATCAGTGAAAAGAAATGAGAACAACAAAAATGAATAAACAAATAAAAATATACAAACGAATAAAATTTTCACCCTTTGTCTTTTTATACCTAATACAAACCATAATACCGGGTTGTAAAAATGATAAATCAACCAATCAATAAAAGTGAGATGAGAAAGAGAAACAGGCACATAGTACAAATGAGTAAAACTTTCTTGTTTATTTAATATCTGAATATGGAGTAAAGAAGAAAGACACGAAAACAAAAACAAAATATAACTAAAATTATTGAATGAGAAAAAGACAACCAACTAATTAATTCATTGAATAAGAATATGGTGAATATTTGTAAAGTTAAAACAAAATGGAAAATGCCACACACTCTAATTTATTAAAGCAAGATTGTTTTTACATGGGAATATACCCAACTAATTGATGTATGAAAAAAGAAGGGAATGAAATAAATAGGAAGAAAAAGATGAAATGAAAAATCTTCATCAGTTGCTCAAGATTATGATGATGAAACGGAGCAAAATGATGGTAATCATAGATAAACGGTTACAAAACAGTTTTCTTTGAATATTTCAACTCATTCGCGAACAACTGAAAAGTATCAACTTTTAGTGGTGATTGAATCCTCGGAATTAGTTGAACTTTGTTGACGATCGATGTAGAGTTTAAGAAGACGTTTCTGTGAAAAAGGCAAACGGTGAGAAGAAACACTGATTATTAGATAAATATAATATAATACTATCTATCTATCTATCTATCTATCTATCTATCTATCTATCTATCTATCTATCTATCTATCTATCTATCTATCTATCTATCTATCTATCTATCTATCTATCTATCTATCTATCTATCTATCTATCTATCTATCTATCTATCTATCTATCTATCTATCTATCTATCTATCTATCTATCTATCTATCTATCTATCTATCTATCTATCTATCTATCTATCTATCTATCTATCTATCTATCTATCTATCTATCTATCTATCTATCTATCTATCTATCTATCTATCTATCTATCTATCTATCTATCTATCTATCTATCTATCTATCTATCTATCTATCTATCTATCTATCTATCTATCTATCTATCTATCTATCTATCTATCTATCTATCTATCTATCTATCTATCTATCTATCTATCTATCTATCTATCTATCTATCTATCTATCTATCTATCTATCTATCTATCTATCTATCTATCTATCTATCTATCTATCTATCTATCTATCTATCTATCTATCTATCTATCTATCTATCTATCTATCTATCTATCTATCTATCTATCTATCTATCTATCTATCTATCTATCTATCTATCTATCTATCTATCTATCTATCTATCTATCTATCTATCTATCTATCTATCTATCTATCTATCTATCTATCTATCTATCTATCTATCTATCTATCTATCTATCTATCTATCTATCTATCTATCTATCTATCTATCTATCTATCTATCTATCTATCTATCTATCTATCTATCTATCTATCTATCTATCTATCTATCTATCTATCTATCTATCTATCTATCTATCTATCTATCTATCTATCTATCTATCTATCTATCTATCTATCTATCTATCTATCTATCTATCTATCTATCTATCTATGAAATATAATTTATCATTGCGTTCATGTTAACGATTACTACATACATGAATACAATTCCAAGTACTTACTGGCATCAGTTAGAGAATCATTAGAAAAACGAGAGTACTGGACAGTTGTTTGGAGTGTGACTCTTAAACGCTTCGCAAGTAAGATGCCTACACCAGGGCTGAAGACAGTGACTGGATGGTAGCCATTCACTAGATGTAAGGGCTGGTAGCCTTTGGTTCGATCGCATATTTGTTTTTTTTTTCTAGATATTATATCAATCTGTGATGAAAACTATTTAGAAACCAATTTAATTCATAAATCACCCAGCTAGGAAATATAGTATTCACGAATTAGTCGTAAGTCATAATTTACTGTTTTACTATGACCATAGGTACGAGAAATGGTTTATTGATTCATTGAGTTAAGTATCAAGAAATAAATGCTGTGATTAATCGGTTCAGTTTTTTTTCATCTAGTATTCAGTGGTGTAGTAAAAACTTGACAATTTGCAACTTTACGAAAACTATCTTGACTTGTTGGTGGTTAACACTATGGATTTGTGTAAAAATGTATAGTGCGAAATAGTCGTGGAGAGACAGAAAGACTGATCAACGCAAAACCTGGCATAGAAATGTATCAGTTCAACTTGATATACTTTACAGCAACATGGGAAGAAGAATTGTGTCTACTTCGCTCAGGGCTTCAACCACTGGGTCATGAGTACGAAGACCGCTCCATCTACCGGGGTTAAAGCAGCCAAGTAGTATCACTATCTCTCATATATTAGGTGTGGCTCATTGCCTACTGCACGAATATGCTTGCGTTTGCTAAGTGGATCTCGACTAGCAAAGATAAAAATAGATAAAGTTTGGTGAAAGTATTCAAGGTTCTGAGGATGAAAAAGGTGCATACATCTGCATCGTTTTCACCAATATGAACTATCGATTTTCGTTATCTCAAGGACGCCAGTCAAGCAGTCTACATTAATTTTGAAAATGTGCGGGTGATCGACAGTTTCCAACTGCCCACACAGTAGAAGGCTATTTTTTCTTTAGGTACCTAAAAGGAGAAAAGATATGTGTGACTACAGAGTCCATCGGACATCTGCTTGAGTCCTGCCACACATACCCTTCTAGGGATTGTTGCTGTGAGACTTGATTGTTCTAAGAGCAGATACACAAATCGCATACCAACGGCACCGGTAAACCACAGGGCAGGGGGGAATGTTATTTAGGGGTCCAGTCTTTTATAAGCTCACCCCTTCTCATAGGCAATGCAGTATAGGCGTGTTACTGCTGGTCATCCAACGGTAATATCATACTGCTGTCACATCTCATCCAGCTAACAACAGTACGACTTCGCCCTCAGACCCCCATCATAGTGTAGTAATTAACACCACAATGGTAAACGTCTTTCATCTTCCCACTATCCAGAAGACGTTTCTGGTTCAAACAAACAATCAGAGTAGCCACTAATTAATGTCACGTCTTGGTCTAGCTGTGTCACTTATTCTGGTAGTGACATCCCTGAAGGCACCGCTAGAGAACGAGGGTCTAAATTTTCCAGGGATTACATAAAGGACGGACTAGATAACGCAGCATTAATTACTATTCTAGAGATTACCATCATTATTATTATTTCCCTGAAGTTTCTAGCAGAACATACGGCTTCAGTAGCACACCTCCATTACACTCTCTTCTCTCCAGTCTTCAAAACCTCACACCATGACTGCCTACAAGCTTTCATTTCTTCCCCACACACCATCTCCTCCATGTCACCCTCGACTCAGACACCAAACTCATCGTTTCCCATTTGAATTCCACTCGACAGCCTGACCTGGCCTGGCTCATGATGTCCTCAATCGGCCCAGTCCAATCCATCTCCACTTTCTTCTTCTGCATATTTGTTAGGTGATAGGTTCTTGCCTCGTTGGTTCGTCGCCTTCTCATCTCATCATCGAGTGTAGGCAGCTGTTGATGAATGTGTGGGGTTTGTTGGAAGTTATTTTCGTGAGACGCCAAATTTCTGAGTCGTATAGCAGCGCTGACTTGACATTGGCGTTGAAAATCAGGATGCTGTTCGCGCTTAATGCTGACTGCAGTGTAGATCTTCACACTGTTTTCAGATTAATGACAGCCTGTCTTGCTGTCTTTCCGATCTTGGTTTTGACGTCCTCGTCTGTGCCGCTGCTGCCGCCTGTAGTTGAAACGATGCTGCCTACAGATAACCATAACATTTTCACTACTGTTTTTCGATGGGTAGACTCTGATCAACACTAAGTTTTTTTTGAGAGCTATCAACATTATTTCATCAAACAGAGTCAATATATATTTTTCAGATGAATAGGGATTTTTAATTTAGAAGTAGTATTCATCATGAACTGATATCAGTTGGGGAACCATTGAAAATCTGGGAGCACTGGACAGCTGTTTCGTCCAAGTATGGGACTCCTCAGCAGTACGCACCCACGACCCAGCTAGCAGTCGAACTCAAGACCTTCAGGTCCCACGGCGAACGCGTTAACCACTCAGCCACTGGGCCGTGACCTGTGGGATCAACCAGTCGGAAGTGAAGTGGATGCTAACTGAAGACCTTGGGTGACAGTCACGCTATGTCGTGAATTGACAGAAGTTGGAAATTGTGAACCACTGGAAACCGACCCAGTGGCTGAATGGTTAACGCGTTCGCCGTGGAACCTGAAGGTCGTGAGTTCGACCGCTAGCCGGGTCGTGGGTGCGTACTGCTGAGGAGTCCCATACTAGGACGAAACAGCTGTCCAGTGCTCCCAGAGTCAATATATGTTGATTAAAAAAAGAGAGAATAGTACAACACAATTCATAGATTCTAGTTAGAGAAACGCTAAAATCTCAAAATGTACTTTCTTCATTTTTGACGTTTAAGATATCAAGAATTTGTTAGCATAATCGCATAAATTTACTCGATAACAACTTATTCCTTTTTGCTTAAATAAAAAGAGACAAGCTAAAATTGGCAAAATTCAATCCTATGATAAAGAGCATACTCGGTTGACTGAGATATATACAAAAAACAGTATTGATCAAGTGGAGAAAGACAGAAAATCGATAAAAGTTATACTATTCGTTAATGAAAAGAAGAATTTCTTTAAAATATGACTCTTCAGTATATGAGAATGATAAAAAGGAGTCAAAACACGTTCCATTACCCTTCAGTTTCTATTTATATCAAAACTTTCATATTTATTAGTAGATTAACTGGTAAACTGCTTGTGCTTCAAGTTTCATACCATCTGTACATCACTCTGTTGAAGGCTTTGGATTCAAATACCAGTGGGTGTGTTACAGCCTATGATGAGCTGCGTATATCGAGTGGTATCTGTCAAGGATGTCAAATGTCTTCATCCCTATTCAATCTTATCATAGACGTACTTCTAGTGGTTTCCCTCTTGTCATCTGAATTCACAAGGATTGGTCTTATCAAAGGAGACTCTTTGGTATGTTAACGACATAGTCCTATTAGGTTAGAACCCCGAGAAGATGGAGAGTCTTATGGACACCTTGATTGGCAAGTTTAGAATGTTTGCGATGCGTTTCTCGTCACCCAAATGCAAATTGTTGCTCCAGGACTGATCTTCAGTGATGCCCTGGCTAACAGTAAGCAGTGAAATGGTCGGGTGTGTAGAGCACCACTTACCTAGGAAGTCGGATCAAACATGGTTGGTTAGTGGCCGACAAAATCACTGCATAAATACGAAAGATTACCTTGATCTCCACCTACTTACACCACTTATGGTGCAGTCGTGATATCCAATTTCCAATTGTATTGAGTGTACTGTGCTACAGTTTGCTCTGTTCTACTGTATGACTGTGAAACATGGCCATTAAAGCTAGAGGACATAAGAAAGCTTCAGATACTTGACGTCCCTTGCTTTCGTAGCATAGACAGTTTGTCGTAGTGTCACTATGTCAGTAACGCAGAAGTCAGGTATAGATTTTAAAGCGGAAGAAGAAATTAAGTTGATGAGGCCGTGAACGTTCATCAACTGAGGTAGCCAATATATGGATTACGCATGCTTAATCACCTTCTGACTCGTTGTACCAAAGGTAGCTGAAATGGGTTTAGTCCGGATAAAGGCTCAAGTCAACTAGATTAAAACATCGCATCACTACATGAAACCTTTGACTGTTACTCTGAGTCATGCAGAGAAATACAGACTAGTCATTGGGTTAAGGTTCACGTGACAATGAGTGGTGGCGATATCGCTCGGAATGGATGTCTATAGCAAAGATGTATCCACATACTATCTCAATCTTAATCACTATACGGAATTCAGCATTTTCTCATTTTTCTTCCTTTTCGAGTGTTTTTAACTAGTTTATCTTTTTTTTCTTCATTTTTCGTCTTAGTGCATTTATCTCAGTTGATGTGCTGATATACGGTGTGGTATTATGAACCGTTGCGCAGTGATGCCTGGGATGATGATATCAGTAGGGGTGTGGTCCATAGGTTTAAGTAATCGACTTTAAACCAGAGCATCACAGGTTAGAACTAAGTTCAACCTACCGGGGTCGGAGCAGTCTAGTAATATCACTAGAGCGCAAAGAATAGATGTAGTTGATTATCTAGTGTACTAACATACACGTGATTATTGAATTGCAATTTCTTTTAATAACCATTGAATTGCCTTGAAGTATGGCTTGTGACTTCTCAAGAATCTTTAAATGATTTTAGCAATAATACTTAAATATAACTGCAAGCCATTGAATTCCACAATCTCCAGTATTTCATTGAAAAGCGAAATGGTGTAGAATAAAAACCACTTCAAACTTGGACTTCTATACACATAGAAAAGAGTATGAATGTATCACCTTGAATAGTTGTCTCAAAAATACCATAAAACTTACTTTGCCTGCATTCAACTCTGTAAGATATCCCCAAATATCATCTCCAAGTTTCATAGCTATTGCAACTAGACAAAATACACTTGCTTTACGAATAGCACTCTCTTCATGATTACAGGCCTAAACAACAATAACAACAACAATGTTGATCATTCATATCAAATGATAGGCAAACAATAAAAATTGAAAAGTGTAAAGAGTGGATTCTTCTTCTAATTTGAAGAATACTTACAGTGAAACCAACTTATGATAAGCGGATATCAACATGTTAGTCAACTAAGCAGTTCATAAAGTTGATGAAGAAATATATGCTATTTCTGGACTTTCAATGAGATGATTAATTATTGATAATTATTGTCAACTGTAATGTTTGTTTTTTTTGAAGTAAAATTATCGGCATACTACTTTTTTTTGGCATTCTTTTGTATATATTTTTCATATTATATGATTATTACAGTTAATAGTGTAATAGGAGACGGGAATTTAACGCCTGAACTCCATTCTCTAAACGTTGACATACAAACGAAACAGCAACAACAACAACAACGAAAGGGTACACCACATACATGGCTATGCAATACACTTGCTGAACCGAGACTAAATGATATGGCATGATAATCGCAAACTACCTTGCGTAGGGTGGAAATCAAGCTTAAAGGCACTATGATTGCAAATCGATTGCGTAATCCAATGTATCCCAGTTTTATTCTCAAGACTATTGAAAAATTCAGTCAATCAATGGAATTATATTATGTAATTTTATAACCAACTATACTCAAAACAATACACTTCAGGAATATACATTCGATACCTGCTAAAGTCAAAGGTCCCTAACGCTTGATAGGACAAGATATGAATTGATCACATCCCGATTTTCAATAGATATTCAATACATATAGACAGAACACAAGATTCACGTTAAAACTAATCAGAAATCTTCTGTATGGGATTATAATTTCATTACAACTTTCTGATATTTTCAATGTGAACAAATGCAAGCTACTTACAAGTAGTCTATACAACGTGACAACAAATTATGTCCATTAGAACAAACGTACACCTTAGGAAATAATGCTAGATGAAGAAGAATTGAGTTTAAAAGAAGGTTAAAAGTGGAAAGGATACAGTATGGCATAGATCAATGTGTAACCTTTGCACAGTTTAACACTAAACTGTTTGTATCACAACTGAACAGCCCCCATTACAAACTTTCGTTATTTCAATTCTTCGTTCTAATGGAACCATCTCCATTTCTGCATTATATTGTACGGTAAGGTTGTCCATATGTTTGTAGGAAGTCATAAGTGCCACAAACCTTTCATCATTTAACTTCAAAGTTTTGGGAAAAGGTACATGAACATCCGTGCAAGTACCAGGTGAAATCAACAGAAAGGCCTGGAAATAGCCAAAGCCATTGTAAATATATATATCTAATAGTCTTTATCTAATAACCAAGGAATCAAGCTATCATAATAAGTTCACTGACACATATATAACCAAGTTATATCAGTCTCTCTCTATCGACGAAATAATGAATAAAAGCAATAATATACGGCTTGTATATTTATATATAAAAAAAAGGATACTTACAGTAATGAGTCCAGGAATTAATGAGTTAATAAATTCATAAATTAATTCAGCTGATGAGTTCTGTATGACTTGCATTTGCATTTTAATCGCTGGTAAATTAATTTGTAACTGTGAATCATTTATCAAAGGAGTAAGAACATTTAAACAAAGTTCTTGAGGGAGATTTTGAGCTACAGTATTGGCACATTCTTCTGCTGCTCGAACAACCTTGATAGAATATATATATATATGTTTAGATAACGGATAGTAAAAGAATATTCTGGAGAAAAAAAATTGTTTTTTTTAAAACAATTCTACATTCATTCAATTACTCAAAACGAAAAAAATGTACAAAAATCAAATGACCTTTGCTTGCAATTACCTGCTGTCTATTGATCAGCATCTATGGCGTATATAGGTTACACTTTAACGGATACTTTTCGACCCAGTATAATAATCAATAGGAAACTTTACAAGCATATGACTGAGTGACAAAATCAACGTAGAATCTTGTACATAGATGCATAGGCTCAAGTTGCTACACTTTACAATAGTACAAAAAGAATAGGTGGATCGAAAAGAAGTGACATCAAATGTAGATAAAGTAATATGAGAAAGTAAAGCAATTTGAAGATAAAAGTTTGTGTTAATATTCAAACTTTGGCAGATGTCTAAAAGTGAATGCATCTGGGACGTTGTGACCGATTTCTAACCATATCACCAAGAGTCCTCCAATCAGGGAATGTCTCAAGGACTGTAACCAAACAGTCTACATTTTCTCACACTACTCAACCCAATAGTCAGGGAATTCATCGACTGGTGACTAGTCACCCTTAACCCTATTCCATCCTAATCCAACTCCCCCCTAGTATGGAACGTTGATGTAGGCACAGGCTCAGCATCCGCACTACATGTCCAAGTCAACTCAGTTGATTATCGTTCACAACCTAGTCAATCGACTTGTCTAGTGCCTTTCGCCTGACCTCAACATTTCTCACACGATAATCCTGCCAAATGTGAGCAATGTTGCGAAGAAATCTATGGTCAAAAACAGGTAACTGTCTCATATTTTCTTCTTTTAACGCCCATGTCTCACAGCCGTACAACGGGAGAGAACGGAACAAAGTGCAGTATACTTGCTCTTTGATAGGTAGTAACATATCTCGCCGGCGCCACAGTTGACGCAAGTTGAGAAATGTTAAACGGGATTTCTGTATCCAAGCTGAGATTTCGTCAGCAACCACCACGTTCGGCGGCTGATACAACTCAACAATTAAATGAAGTGGTTGACACATTTCATCACTTCACTCCCTATCATTTATTAAGCTAGCAGTTGTTGCACAGTAGTCCTGAAGCATCATCTTAGATTTGACGGGTAACAGCAAAATGCATCCCAAACATAGACAGATTTCTGCTCAAGGCGTTTAGAAGACTGCATTTCGTTAGCGTCTTCACCTACGAGGACATTACCGTCTGTATATTCCAAGTCAACTAAGTGACCTCTTAGGAGTAGGTCAATCCTATGAAGTCAGATGTACCTAAGGTTATGTCCATTAGTATGTTTTCGAGTAAGTTAAATAAGAGCGGTGACAGTGGACATCTCTGCCGGAGACCACTAGTTGTTATCAACTCACTTGACAACTCTCCATAAGCCCAAGCATCAAGAACGCCATCACTCACTAGTATGCAGGTGAATACAGTTAACGAGTTCCACATAAGACGAAATGTGCATTCTGGATTCCTCTGCTAATCACGATCAAGCAAATAGCATTAAAAAAATGAATTATGCTTCTTCTAAAAATATTTCCCGTATATCTTTTTCTTGATTCTAGTCGTCAGTAAATAAAGCTTGGTAAAGGATAGGCGAAATGAAATGTAAGGATGATGATATAAACTGAGAACGATAATCCAAATCCCAGTCACTCCCAAACTACTGACTCCCGCTCAAGTGTCCGACAAAGAACAAGTGAAGATATATCTCCTCATCAGGTTAAGCATTCGCCTCTAGAACTATTGCTCAAGAGTTGATATGCCGCTCAACCTATCCTGACCACGAACAATTCAGTCAATGAGAATACCTTCTCAACAAACGTCATATTTCAGATTTGTATTCATCATGAACTGACATGAGTCAAAGGAACATTGGAGATCAGGGCCAACCAAGGAGAACAAGAAGACAGTTACTCAAAGACAGCATTGGATAAAGGTCACGCTATATCGTGGACTGACAGAGTAGGAAATACGAACCGTTGGATTTCGACCCAGTGACCTAATAATAACACGCTGGTCGCGAAACCTGAAGGTCCTGGGTTCAATCCCGAATGGGGCAGGGGCGTGCACTGCTGAGGAGTCTCGTACCGGGATGAAATAGATGTCCAGTGCTTCCAGGTTTTCAATGTTCCTCCAACTGACGTCAGTCAATGATGAATACCAACCTGAAGTCAACAGATCCCCCACAAACCTCCGAATTGAAATATCGTATTGATAATTGCCTTATACAAAAGCCAGTATCACGTTTAGTGGCATAAATTCAACGTGTACACATACAGTTATGAAAATTACATCCCATAAATCTCGATAAAATAGTGCATTAGATAAAAGACAACCATAATAAAGAATATCCTTTTCAATAAATTCTATTCAGATTCTTCAGTTTTTAAAACCAAAAAATTCATCGTTATTCAACTTAATCTTACCGTCGGATCTAATCGAAGTGCACTCGTTAACTATGTGCATACAAATGCAGCAGACACTAATGCAGACGTATTGTAAGAGGGCTAACAATACTGTCTGGTTGCCTTGCAAAATCTCAGTATACAGAACAGGGTTCGAACTCGTGACCTGTTGGACCCAGGAGCTACAGTTTCACTTTTGGCTTAAATACATAGCAGAATGCAAGTTCAGGGTTATAAGTAGGTTATTGCTAAATCTGTCAGTGACAGGATGAGATATATGTATATCAAAAGTGGTGGTACATTTAGAACTGTGGACTACATGACTAGGGTCACCAAAAACAATAAGATTCAATGGTTAAGGGCTCTTGGTAAAATGGCTAAAAATCAGTAGCAGTGGCACAAATGTATTGAGTCCTTGACGTCTTCTAAAGCTTGAATATTTGCACTACCCTTTATCCTCACATAACTTTTATGTACTTTGATATCACTCCTTTTCTATCTATATGTTCTTTGTTTACTATTGTGAAATAAGGCAACTTGAACTGATGAAACTGTGTGCGAGCTTTTACGTTATTTTGTCTGTCTGTTATGATATGAAAGGTTGCTGATTCGAATCTCACCGTGACCCAGATTTCAATTTCACCTTCAGTCATTATCCAGCATCAATACATATTTGACAAACAATGGTTATCTCATATAGTCAAACTGATAAGTATTTAAATGTTTTTCAAAAAATGTCTAGGCTAAATTCATCGTTCATATCGCTGCAAAAGCTTCAAAGAGGAGACTTGGAATAGTAATAAAACAGTGAGCATAAAAAGGTAGGCGGATAAAGGTTTGACAAGTTGAAGGCAGAGGAATAGTCATAAACAAGAGTAAGCTGTGAACAATATAAACCTAGGCAATGTTTGCCGAGTGCACAATATACTCTTAGGCAAAAAATGATGGAAAGTATTTGTTTTTCACGATGAAGAACAACAGCATCAACAACAAGCACCAATCACCATTAACGGGAGAAACCTAAAGGAAGTTAACTCTTTCACCTACCTACCCACACAGACAGGATCGTCTCAACTACAGACGAGGATATTCAAACCAGGGTAAGAAAAGCAAGACAGATCCTCCTCCATTAATCTGAAATCAGTGTGGAGATCTACTACACTACAGTCAGCATGAAGCGTGAACAACATCCTGATTTTCAACACCAATTCAGTCAAGTCAGTGCTCCTATATGGTTGAGAAACTTGGCGTCTCACGAAAATCACTTGCAACAAACCCCACACATTCACCAACAGCTGCCTACGCTCACTAGGTGCTGATGATCAAATGGTCAGAATAACAAGAATGAGCAATAAGGAATTCTCTCTGGAGATGAACCAACCAAGAATCTATCACGCAACAAATGTGCAGAGGAAGAAAGTGGAGATGGATTGGAATGGGCATACATTGAGAAGGTCGATTGGGACATCATGCGCCAAGCCATGTCACACTGCTGAGTGGAATCCAAAGGCGAAACGACGAGTTAGGTGTCTGAGTGGAGGGTGACATGGAGGAGATGGTGTGTGTGGAAGAAATGAAGGATTGTGGACAGTGGTTGTGCGAGGTTTTGAAGACTGGAGAGAAGAGAGTGTAATGGAGGTATGCTACTGAAGCCGTATGTTCTACTAGGAACCCAAGGGAATAATAATAATACAATAAAGAAAACAATAGTTTGATATTCTCTAAGATATGGGTTTTTTTACTGATTGTGTGTTTCATCATCTGGCCTAGTGACACCATTAGCATGAACTTCATAAAAAGGTAATGCATTTTCAAATGATATACAAATATTTGATTTTAATGTCTTTTTCATTATCTTAAATATTGCCCAGTTGTGAGATGATGAAGAGATTTCTATTATATTTTCACCTTTATTTGAATCTGTTACGCTGAAAAAGAATCTTTTTTTTAGAGGGGAACTATACTATTCGTTATTGTACACATTGTATTCAATTATTGATTTGTTTAACCAATTAACAATTGGTTGATAGATAATTGTTTTCTTCGGAAGTCGATGGTAGATTGAGATTTATATTCATGCGTTCTGTTGATTGACTTTTCATTGAAATGTTATGCATCTATGTCCGATTAATATACTGGGATTATGAAAAATATTCCTTTATTAATAATCAAGGTAAATAAAACGAATAACCTAAATAATCGTTTAATTATTTGAATAAACTTTACTTTTGATGATGATTAAAGCTCAAAGAAAACCAGACCATTGCCAAAAAAGAAAAGGTGATTACTATGAAGATATTTAGTTTTGGGAATTTTATATTGTAGACTAAACAGTTTAAAGATTTATGTTCACTATCAAGATCCCAATGCCAGCGACATTCATGTGTATGTTCCTTATTCAACAACTATATGTAGACGCTTCATGCAAAGTAAATGACAATAGGAAGCTCAGTGATGCCTTTCAAGTGAAGACAGAAGTAAAACAAGGCTGCCGTCTACTATCACCCATGATCCTCTTGATTGTGGTCGACTGGATCATGCAACAAACTGTGAGGAGAGAGAAGGGGGTATAACGCAAGCTGGACCGATGAAAACATCTTCGAAGATTTGGATTTTACCGACGGCTTGCATCTAAATGTCACACAAACTCGAAGACCTACAGGCAGAAACTAACAAGTTGACAGAAAAAGTAGGGCAGTGAAGAAGGGACTTCAAGTGAATGTAGAAAAGACAGAAGTGATGAAAACCAACCAACACCACCACCATCAACGGGGGAACTTAAAAGAAGTAGCCTCTTTCACCTATCTAGGAAGCACTGTTTCAACTACAGGCGGCACAGACTATGAAGTCAAAGCCAGCCAGGATCGGAAAAGCAAGACAGACGTTCATTAACCTGAAATCAGTGTTGAGATCTTCTGCACTCAGCATAAAGAACAAGATCCGGATTTCCAACAACAACGTCAAGTCAGTGCTTCTGAATGGCTCAGAGACTTGGCGCGTTACTAACAGCATTTCCAACAAACTACAAACATCCGTCAACAACTGCCTACGCTTGTTAGTGAAGATCAGATGGTTAGAAAGAATAAGCAACAAGCAACTCTGGCAACCAACCAGCCAACCAGGAAGCCATCGCTCAACAAATATGCAGAAGGAAGTGGAGATGGATTGGGCATACACTAAGAAGAGTATTCGGGGATATCACGCGCCAGGCCGTTGAGTGGAATCTAGATGGCAGACGATGAGTTGGGCGTCCGAGATGAGGGTGACATGGAGGAGATGGTGTGTGAGGAAGATAGGAGCTTGTGGGCTGTCGTGGAGCCAGGTTCAAAAGTTTACAGAGAATAGAGTGCACCGGAGACGTGCTACTGAAGCTCTATGTTCTACTAGGAACCCAAGGGATAAATAATGTATAATAAATAATAATCCTGTGAAGTTAAGTATATAGGTCATAGCAATAGATAGCTGTTTCGTCCTAGTATACGACTCTTCGGTAGTACGCACCCACAACTCCACCAGGGATGGGACTTAAGACCTTCTGCTGATGAATACTACCTTACAAATAAATTTCCCAAAAATCTCAAGCTACATTACTGTATAGTGCTTATTCGTGACACGTTTGAAGATGGACGAACTACGTTGAGAAATGACAAAAGTAGGAAACTGTGAATCACTGAACTCCGATCAAGTGGTTGAATGGTTAACGCGTACGCTGCCAGACCTGAAGATCCTGGAGTTTGATTGCTGGCGGAGTCATGGATGCATACCGATGAAGGGACCCATGGTACGATGAAACAGGTGCTCACTGCTCCCAGTTTTTTAATGATTCCTAAAGTGATGTTAGTAGGTGGTGAATACTACCCAGAAAATAAAATCCCCATAAACCTCAAACTACAATAGAATGAATTGTTGAAAGTAGACTGGTGTATATTTCTCATCATCCATCACATTTTTAAAAGAAAACTAAATAAGATAATAGGAGTTACTTCCTTTTATAGGATTTAAGCATTCCGAAGGGAGACAAGTAATCATAGTGGAGACAATTTTGTATTGAAATGAATCGGTTGGAAAATAAAATAACGTCAAAGGAAGGAGTCGTGATTAATTCCCATTTTCAGAATTAATTTTATGCAAATGTTAAGTCATAGTAAAACAAAATATGCGTATCTTTCATTTCTTACTGTTGAAGTCAAATAACAACAAAAATCATAATGAAACATCGCATTTTTGATTTTATGATGTGCGTCTGTCTGAATTCAGAAACTGCCTATACAATTAAAGGATACTACAAACAGGGATGGTGTACAATGAAGCAATCCTCTTCACAGTGAATTTGATCAATGGTCTGTTTCCTATTTCTGGTTTTCAAACGATTTATACCAATCTTGCTAGGTGTCCCTTGGGTTCCTAGTGAAACATAGGGCAGGTTTCTTTCCACATCTCCTTCAAAAAATTCCAGTCTTCATCCACATGGGTCTCTTCAGGGATGCTGCTCGATATCTCTCATTTTGTCTTGATGGCTGACGTGAAGATGTCGTTTGTAGTTTCGTCCTTCAGTTCAGTTTGTGTTCTGGGTGTTCAACTTGAACTGTGGTCTATCATCCCCAACTTCCTTGAAGGCTCTCAACTTGATTTTGAAGTCAGGTAGATAGTGAGTGGTGTGAACCTACATCTGCTCCCCTTCTTCACCTGATCTTATGTCCAGTGGTGGGTTGGCTGCCTCTCCACTTTCTTCACATTGAGATGAAGTCGATCTGATTTCTAGTGTGTCAGGTGTCTGGTGAAATCCATGTCACTTTGTGAATATCCTTGTATTTGTACACACTGCCTCCAATCACCAAATCGTTGAATGGGCAGAATACTGCAAACAGTTCTCCATTCTCGTTCATTTCACTGAGAGCTTCTCGACTCATGATTACTTCTCTTCCTGTGTTGTCCGCTCCCAGTTTGGCATTCATGTCACCCCACCCATTAGAATGAGTTTTGATGTCGCCAACTGGGATGTTGTCTTGTCTAGTGCTGATTGCAGTTGTCTGAGAGTTCCTCCTTCTTCTCTTCATCTGCATTATTTGTAGGTGCATAGCGTAGCATTGAATGATTGTGACTCTCCTTCCATTTGACTTGAACCTTGCTGTTATGATCCTGGAGGAGACTGGTTCCCACTGCATGAGAGGGAGGCTTCGATGCTCTTGGGAGGGGGACATCATGATAGCCACTCCAAAACTCAGTGTGCTCGTAGTCGGCGTTAGGGTGACAATATCGGAGTAGATTATTGACTCTCCAGTTGACAGTTTCGAGAGTCCACTTCCATTCCACCTGCTTTCGCAGATTCACAGCCTAGCACTTCAATACTATACCTTCTCATCTCCTTTGCAATCGGGGCAGCCTCGCCAGTTAGGTTCAAACATGGTGCGGACATTCCATGTCCCGATGTTTACTTTCGCTTTCATCGAGAGAAGACACACCAGCCAATCGGCTTACCGAAGGCTTTCATCAACTGGAGTCATTTCGTCTTCCTGATTTCGGCAAGGAATAAGTTTGTTTTTATTGATTATATTTTGTCTGTGCTTTAAAGTTTCTGTAGCGGTTTGATTGGTTTTCTTGGTTAGGGTTGGTAGCCCTATATGCCCAACCTCCCCTCTTTATCGGGGTTTATGAAAGGCTAGTAACTAGTGAAGTAGTTTAGGAAGTGCAACAGCCTAAGTCCATACATTATGACATCAGATCGTACACTGCATTAGTGACTCAGTAAAGGAACCTACAGTGGAATAATCCATGTAACCTGCAATTGTGGATCTCTTTACAGATTATAAGCAATTGGAAAGTACATTAATCTCAGCATTGCAGATAAATTATTAGTACCCAACTAAGTTAACATGGTATATTAACCTATGAGTCTATAAAAGGTAATCTTGGAAATAAAAATCGAAACGAAAAGCAGTCAAAAAGACCACATAAAAAGACAACGCAGAAATCAGTAAAACATGAAAATAATTAAATCCATAAAGTTATTTTAGCTTTTGATTTCCTATATTCATTGTAATGCTGAACATAAGTTAATTGAAATGAGTACACCAATATTGACCTGATATTAATTGGTTGAATCACTTAAAAGAAACTGATTTAAACACTGAAGATTAAGAGGGGACAATAATCAGCAATATCGATCATACAAGAATGATTAGTTTGGATAGAACAAAATTTTAATGACGGACAATCACGTTCGGGTATGAAGTAACCAATCAGGATCGAGTGTATTAAGGACTATGTAACTACTGTGGATTTATAAATCCGTTTTACATGAGAAATGAAGATATCCAGATTTTCCAAAAGCTTATCATCACTGAAACCATAAACATTGTCTGCATTGTCACTCATCCATCCATATGAACTCATAACTTATGCCCTCCAGATAGGGATAAAAGTCTTATAAACCGTTCAAAGACGACTCTATATGTACTCAACGTTGTTTGTGAGCTCTTTAGTTAACGGATCAACAAAGAGCTTTTTGTTAATAATATACTGATGAAGGTAACCCATTCCAGATAACAGCATGTACGACTTTTAAGCACCTGTGTATATTTAAGTACCCGACGCTATCCGTTTCCTTTATAATTGGCAGGATAGACTCTTCTGATTTATCATTTATCTACTCAAAATACCCCTTCTTTATATTTCGTTCGTACAAACCTAGAATCCGTCATTTATGTGTAACCTTCACAATCTTGTTTAAGTCATCTTTATTGATTGTATTCACGTTTCCGAACAAACGATTTTACATACTCTACCAAGCTTCCCATCTATTCTGCACAATAAGATTAGGAAAGAAAAGATAAATGTGCATTGAAATCGGAATGGACTTAGTATAAGGCAAGAAAATATTCAGGGTCTGAATGACACTATTATTATTTATTATTTTTCCACTGGGTACCTAGTGGAACATAGAGCTTCAGTAGCACACCTACATTACACTCTCTTCTCTCCAGTCTTCAAAACCTCGCACAACGACTGTCCACAATCCTTCATTTCTTCCTCATACACCATCTCCTCCATGTCACCCCTGACTCAGACACCCAACTCATCGTTTCCCCTTTGAATTCCACTCGATAGCCTGACCTGGCTTGGCGCGTGATGTCCCCAATCAACCTTCTCAATGTACGCCCATTCCAATCTATCTCCACTTTCTTCCTCTGCATATTTGTTGGATGATAGATTCTTGGTTGGTTCATCGCCAGAAAGAGTTCCTTGTTGCTTATTCATATACGCTAGAGCTGAAATATTTATACAGATAGTATATCAAGAAGACTCTTCATACGGGATAAAAAGAACTAAAATGAACTATAATATAGTGCAATATATAGTTAAAAATAAACAAAAATAATCTTATACTTACAGATTTTTCATTATCCCGACAAGCTTCAAGAACTTTAATGACGAACAGATATGCAAAATCATGAAATAGTTCAGGTTTAGCGCGTACCAATTCTTGGAGTACACGGAGAGCTAGGGCTCTTGTATCATGCTTAATAAAAAGAAAAAAGAAACTTTATATGAATGATGAAAGGAAACAATGTCAGAAAAATATGAGTTACATTATGAAAAGTAAGAAAATTACTTTCTCCTATCACAGTACACTAAGCTCAGTTACTAAACTTTATTGTTTATCAGAAAAATTGCTTTTTAAAAAAACCCACTTATGTAATCTGTTTCAATAGTCTTAGTCAAAACAAGTTTATATAATTGTATCAGGTGAAAATATTTCATCGAGATAGGTAATAACTTCTATCTTAGGATATTCTATGTATTACTTGTAAAAGCTTATTTCTGTAAACATTTTTCAGGAATTGAAATATTCAAATATCTAATAGGCTATTTGTTCTCCCCCCGCAGAATAATAAAAGGTTGTGATAACAAATACTAAAGCAATGGATGATGAGACTTAGAGTTACAAATACCTTAAAGAGTGTTAAGAAGCACAGAACACATAAGTTGAGTAGAAGTTTAGCCTAATTGTCTCTAATCAATTAACACTAATCTCAAAAGTCAATGTAATAATGAGTCTTTTAGCTTACTGAATAAAATGATTCATAGAACTCAGCTATTAAATTAAGAATAAACAGCAAGGAAAATGGCTACTCTCTTCAATAACCAATCAGTACAGAAAAATGAGATTTACAATAGACTATCAGTTGATAGAATGAGTACAAGAAATTCACGGTAAGCATTAAACAGATACAAAAACAAACATCATTTCATAGTTACAAATATGATTGTGTTTGGAAAAAAAAGGGGTAATGATAAAGAAACACAATTATTGCCTGGAAAGTTAAAATTGAAGATTATAGAACCATAGAAATATGAAAACAAAAAATTCGGGATCATTGAGCAGTTGCTTCATCCTAGTACGAAAGTCCTCAGCAGTATGGATCCACGACCCATCAGGAATGGAACTCAGGACATCCAGGTCTCATTGTGTTGTGGTTCATCAGTCTATAGGTTTCGATTATCCCCACCAAGGTCTTCAGTTGGCAATCGCTTCATCTTCAAATGGTTAACTCTGCAGGTCATGGCTTCTCATTAGAACTTCTGGATATCCACCCTGAAGTATGTTGCTAATTAGCATTGATGTCAGTTCATGATGAATACTACTTTTCAAAAGATAGTAAACTTTAAACGATCACTTCTGTTGGAAATTATCCTATATAGAACAATATAGTCTACTCAGACTGTTTCCTAAATGAATCAAAACTCAAGCTTCATTAACTAGCAGAAATCAATCTATAAATATGACAACTCCTCGATTCGATTTTACGACTAACCTGGTGTGTTTGCAATAAACTATCAAGATAAATAAGTAACTTACACCATCATCACCCAATGTTTCGATTAGAATCAACAGAGTCGGCTTGAAATATTCATCCCAATTGGTGACAACACCATCACGTAGTAATTTGATCAACTTTAGCATACACGTTTTTCTTTGTTCATACCTTAAATGAAAATGGGAAGGAAAAAGTGAAATGATTAAGAGCCATTCCTTTTCAATAATAAGTAATTAAATTAAAAGAAATTAGTGGAAATTCAATAAACATGCACCGAAAACCTGTTAACAATGGGTGGTTAGATAAGCAGTTTCCCTGTGTGTTCATACATGCTTACATCATACCCAACGGAACAAAACATTGTGTGATCAACAACAAAATGTGAACCCATTCATCTGTCATTAAGGATAACGGAACACAGACAGACAGAAAAAATCAATGTAGAACCTCACACACAAGTGTATCGGTTCAAGTTGCCACACTTCACAGTAGTATACAAAGAACAGGTGGATAGAAAAAAACTGATATCAAAGTGGACAAAGTTGTGCGAAAGAATAAACAATTTACAGGTAACTGATAGTGCAAATATTCAAGCCTTAGAAGATGTGAGAAAGTGAATACATCGGCGCTACTGCGACCGATTTTCAGCCATATCAACAAGAGTCCTCAACTGCTAAGTCCTATCGTTTAGAGGACCCCAGCAAGGTAGTTTACATTTCCTCACATGAATCAGTACAACAGTTACGGACTGCATGGATTGATGCCACTTCGTGCTCTGGCCAACCCGAAATAATCTTAGAATGGGACCAGAACGAAACAGCTGCCCAGTGCTCAAAGGTTTCCAATGTCCCTTCAACTAATGTCAGCCCATGATGAGTACCAACTTGAAAGGTCTCTAAATCCTCACAAGCCCATATAGTCAACTGAACCAGTGCTCATTGGTGACTAGCTTCGAGAGGTGATCCCCGAAGTTCCAATGAGAAGTCGTGACCAGTGGGGCAAACCTGGTGGCTGTGAGGGCAAATACTCAACAACAACCCTGAGTGGCGGTCGTGCTATATCGTGAACTAACATAAGTTGGAAATATAGACCATTGGATTCCAACTCAATGACTCAATATTAACATGCTGGCCACGGAACCTGAAGATCCTCGGTTCGATACTTGATGGAGGGGTGGTCACGGGTGCGCACTGTTGAGGAGTCCCATACTAGTCGAGCAAAATACTTGTTCAGTGCTCCCAGATTTCCAACGTTCCTCCCTATTGATGGCAATCCATGGTGAATACCAACTTCCCCAGTTATGCATCCACAGTACATGTGCAAGTCATCTCAGTTGACTGAAGTTCACAATCTCATCAATCGACTAGCCTGTTTTTTGCCTTGCCCTGACTTCAACATTGTTCACACGCTGATTCTACCAAACGTAGGCAACACAATAAAGTTGGAAAACAGAATCGCAATTCCTACTTGAGAGCATATTATATAGTCAACATCCAGTTATGTATTCATTTGCTTCAGATAGTTTTTTGTTGTTGTGAGGAACAGAAAATTTTAAAATATTTTAGACAATGAAGCTACAAGAGTTTTCGCAAACAATTTAACATGACTTATAACTAATTGTGGAAAAGTAATGAAAATTGTGATACTGCTTGTAATTCTATCCGCACAATTAATTATCACTATTTTTAAAAATTCGATGAGTGAATGGAATCCAAAAGTTCAAGGACACATAATTATTTAAATACACACTGTAAAATCAATATTAAAAGAGTCAAATATGGAGTAAGTTTCGGTTTTAATTCAGTAGATAGAAAAACATTAAAGATAAATGATATAGCTTGCTTGTTGTTAGTTGGCAATACAATTTAAGGTAAGAATTTTTATCCTACTTGAAACTCGTCAAGCTAGATATACTCACACCTTCATTCGAGTAAGTGAGTGTTCCTGATGAAGGTAACGACATCGTTAAAATATAACAATGTATAATGTGGAAGGTAATAATCAAAATGAAAAAAAAAGGATATCACACTTTTAATGATAACTATTCATGGTGTTAATAACCTATAAGCGTGAGAAATGACCAATGAGACTGAAAGACATGAGAGATTTGCAGTTATTTCGTTGTAGTTGACTTTAGATTATAACCCTTGTGTAGCAGCACCATTTGCTTAGTGATTTCTTAAGTTACTTACAGAGTTTAAAGCAGGACTACAAGATGCCAGCAATTATTGAATAAACGTTTAAAAGGAAAGGATTTCAAAAAAGTCAGCACAGTATGCAACTCCCCCCCCCTCCTCCCATATCCTAAATATGTCACTGCATTTCAGTTATTTGTTCGCTCTTTAGTCACCTTCCTTTCTTGTTAAGATTTTCTTTATATCATACCATATTATTTGCTTTATAGTGATTAGCATTGAAATCTGGGAAGCGTGTTTCGTCTTATCTGCAAGTTGTCATCTGGATGTACCTGCATCCAAGTAAAAGATGGTGTTCCTAACTCATCACTTCTCTTTGCATACGCTGTTATCACATGGAATAATTCATAGCAGTAGAGTCGAAAATATAGTTGTCATCTTGCTGCGGTAGGTATCACTGTGTGGTCTTCCTAGCAAGCGTAAATAGTTGTCGAATGTTAAATAACGCAGATGTCTTGTCCATCTTTCTAGCTGTCACCACCCACCACTGGTTACGACCATTGAGAAGATTCTTGGTGAACTTAGTCTTGGGTTACTCTCTCTTCATAATGGTTGAATCCAGTTGGAATCAGTTTTCTAGCATCGGTCAGTTCGAATGACGTTGCGGAAATCGAATGATGTCTGTAGACTTACTGGTATAGGCTACCAAGTGTCTTTACCGTTGCTATGATTTTCAGGTAAATGCACAGCTATCTCTTCTCTAAATTCAGACTTGGCGTTTTCACCTTCCCATTGACCTTAGACAGGCTTCACTGTCGCCTGTTTCCTGAGACCAGTAAGGCGCAAACACAAATGAGTCCGTACTAGCGCGTGATTGGAGTCCAAACTGATTCTCCAGAAAAAGTGGTAATCCTCCAATAATTCTCTCCAACGATGACCAATCGCAATATGATCCATCTGTGTAAATCATCGGTTTGATGTCAGCGTACACTATGTGAGACAGTGTCGTTCCTTAGGCGTAAAGTTGGTGCTGACCAGAAACAAGTGATTGTCGGGACAAAATTGCAACCGATGATCACCATTGTGAGCTCGTTGGCATCGGATTCCGTAGATGCCTTTCCGATTGGCTTAACTTCCCTGCTTTGGCGTTAAAGTGACCTGTCATCATAACTACACCTGTGTTTTGCTTTCTGTAGGGAATTTGACAGCTTTTAACAAAATTCATCCTTAATTGTTTACGATTCTTTAACCAGGTTAATTTTAATTCCTTTTTATTTACTTGCTTCAGTATAACAACAAAGACCTGTAGAGCAATCAGAGATACTAAGCTACTAAAAAAAGTTCTGTGTTACTCATTTGTTTGTCTATATTTCACCACATAAATCTGAGCAAATAACACAAATTTCTTCATATGAATTTTACGAGAATATTTATTGAAAAAGGTAATTAACTGCCTGTCAATTACTTATTTGATGTTACAAGAAATCGAAGCGTTTTCTTCAATCACACAGAAGCAAATATAAGGTAGAACACATTGAATATCGAAAAGCGATGTGAATAGTTAAAACTCATAGTGTTTATAGAAGGTGATAGCAGAACTTTATACAAAAGGATAAGGAGTTACGCAAAAAATATGTTGTTTTTACCACTATTCAACACGTGTTTGATACATAGTTCCAGTTTGACAGTTTAGGTTTCCAATTTCGAAATTCGATACATCTATCACTGTTTGCTTGATGACACGTAGTCTACATTTATTTCCTATACTTGGATATGATTACTGGACCATAGACGTTTTGCATATTACAACGTGCACTAGATCCCATGAGGTTTAGATATTCAATACAAAATATACATAAAGTAACTCAACCCGATACATGTTTATGCATTAGGCTATAAGCCGCACCTGCAGTGTTGCTATATGGCTGTTGAAATCGAAGCGGGTGGATCGGGGGGGTTTGAACCCAAGATCTATTGCTCAAAAGTTGAATTCCTAGGCAAATGAGCCATATTTCCACACATATTTAATAAATGCTCCATCTTTCCAATGTTTTCATGGAAATGTTTAATCATATCCTACAGGACCCATCAACTGAATACAATTAATTTAAACGATAATAGTTTAGTTACACAGCTCGTGAGTAGTCAGTGTGAAACTTGTGAGATGTCGTGGATTCTTACCAAGACTATCTAAACAACACTAAAAAATGTGACACAGTCATATGAAACATTGAAATTCTCCAGTTTCTTGAATCTTCTACACTATGTTTGGTGGAATTCGATTTGCCCATAGACATATGCGCATAAATCTGTACTCTATTGGTAATCACCACCGAATACTACGGATAGGGGAGAAGCCAAGCGAAGACATGTTATTAAACTATTATGCTTTTCGTGTATTACTCAATGCATCATCAACACATAGGCTAATTAATGCATACACGATTCTGTAGAGTGACTGTGAATCATCTATAAGATACCGTTCAAATAATAAGGAAAAGAGTATTCACTTAGGAATACAGTGAAGTTATTGATGAATTATCACTAATTTATTATCATTTAATATTTCAAGAGATAAATATTCATGAATTAATGATCCAATCGTTAGACTTTCACGGTGTAAAGTTTCAATAGTTTCCCAAGAAAAGACAAGGTTGATGAGTCCTAATCAGGAGGAAATGAACATCCTAGATCCCACTGCTAGCCAATATCCATCACTAATATCAAAAGTGGAAATATAGGTAATCTTGAGGCATCCATACAGGAGCCCACATACCAACAGAGACTAATCAATTCGGTCAAGCCAACGATGGGATAACAAAGCAACATCATAAAGACAAACTACATTTTCAATGAATATGGAACCAGTACTGAACAGTAGACAGATACTTCACTGGATATAATGGTGTTGTATTCTTTGATTTGGATGGTTTGATCGTGAAGCCTTTATTGTTACTCTAGACAACATCAATAGAGTATAACTTCAGACACGTTTTTATCATAATTATGAGAAACGAATTGAAAAACAATTAC